AATAAAATTAATATTAAATTTAATAATAAGAAAGCTACTGCTGCAACAGGTGGTGGAGGCCCATTGGAATGTGAGATGTCAAGGCTCCCAATTTTTCTAGACAATCGGCACACACATGGAGGTGAGGTTGACAGGCTTATGAGCCAGCCAACCTTTACACCCAGGAAGATTTCTGGCACTTATTTCTGTTACAGACTGAGTTGATACCAGGGTCATAGTGCGGCTGGAAGGTTTAGGTCAACTGAAAAGTCCAATGACCTCATCGGGAATCAAACCTGCAAACTTCCGGCTTGTAGCATAGTTCCTCGACCAACTATGCTACCACTTGCTCCTATTAATAAGAAAAGTAATAAAATAATTAGGGTGATATGTACCGTATGAATCTGAAACGTAGCCATTTTCTCAAAAAGATTAATATTACCATTAATAACAGAGAAAAACTAATGAAATAACAAAAATTGTAAAAGGTAAAAAGGTAAAACTATCAGTGTAACAGACTGTGGAGGCCCTATTAATAAGAAAAGTAATAAAATAATTAGGGTGATATGTACCTTATGAATCTGAAATGTAGCCATTTTCTCAAAAAGATTAATATTACTATTAATAATAGAGAAAAACTAATGAAACAACAAAAATTGTAAAAGGTAAAAAGGTAAAACTATCAGTGTAACAGACTGTGGAGGCCCATACGGTTGTGAGACATCGAGGCTTCCACATTTTCTATACAATTGGCTAACAGATGGTGGCGACATCAGCCTTATGCTCTGGTAGCCCTTTATCCCCGACAAGATTCCTGGTACTCATTACTGTGGGAGGCTTAGTCAACCCCAGGGCCATAGTCCAGCAGGAAGTATTAGGACAAATGAAAAATCCAGTGACCTCATTGGGAATCCAAACCACAATCTTCCAGCTTGTAGTACAGTGACTTAACCAGTTACACTACCATAAATATTATTAGTCTGAAAAATAGTCATGCTTAGTACAACCATGACTTTCCTTGCTGCTGAACTGCAAGTTCTTGCTGTCGAGACCACTTTCTCAAAGTCATCTAACATCTTATGACGCTCAAAGGAATGGTTGCCACAGACATTCTTCCAGTAATTCAACAATTACTCTCTGTTGACTTTTAGGATGATTTTATGCTACATGAGTGATCAGTTAGAGTGAACTTGGTATTGGTAGGAGGTTGGTTCCAAGATCAAAAATAAAATGCATTACATTCTTACTGACCTACTGATGTACCAGGATCTCCATCCTCTTTGTGCCCTTTTGCCTGCCCGTCTCTCATCAACATATTATTCTGCTTACACCACCAAAAACAAAAAAAAAAGTCTTATAAAGTTATAGTATCTATATATGAGAGTAATAACAAAATATTTGTGTGTGTGGCAATCTATAATAAGAAAGTACGCTTTATGACTTCTGCAGGGCTTGCCTTGTTTAGTCTTTGCACACACTTGATAGTGCTCCCATTACATGCTACTCTTAGGAAACTGGAAATTAATTACTATTAGCATTATCACAGGAACTGAATATTAATAATGATGACAGTCATCATGAAATCTACACCAACTATGAACATGTAAAAAAGGCATTACACTGCAAATATAAACAGAGATTACTAGACAAAAGACATACCATGCCAGATTCCTGGGAGTACTGAATTCTTTTCTCACAGATTATTTAACGATGCTTTCAGTATTGGAAAGCTGAAGAATTTCAATTCTGTCTGTTCATGGGTCAGGCTGTACTCATAGGCAAAGCATAACATCTCATTATGCAGATGTATATTGCAATAGGCTTAGAACCAGTGACTTCCCATGGCCACAAGAGCAGCAAAGGTGATGCAAACAGGCAAATATCCTGCAACTGCCATGGTATACTAACATATTAAAGCAGTTCAGCATTTCAGTATGTGAAACTCTTCTAATCACTCTAAAAGGAGAGGATTTTATTATGGAAGTGAAATTACTTTATTTTGTTACCAGGCAGAAGTGGCAGAATGGTAACTTCAAGATACAAGTCCTCAATAGATTTCATGCAACAGTTTTATTTCAAATATAACTATTCACAGGATAATGAAACAAGTGTTTCATGTGAAGATAAAAAAAGGAAAATATGAGAGTTAAATTCAGTAATATTACATGAATTACAAAAATATACACATCCCTTTATATGATGTTAAATAAGATACATCTTAAGGGTATTCACATTCCATATAACAACATTTTGCAACTAAACAACTGTCTCAACACAAAGAATATATTCTCAAACAAGTTAGGATATGAATAGCAGTACTATTTTCTGGTATGCAATGTGGTGTGGTCTTTAAGAAATTTACCAGTGTTTCGGAAGAATGTACTGCCTCCATCTTCAGGACAGAATAAGCCAGGCAATCAGTAAGCACAGTCTCCTTGTTGTTAGCTTTCCTGACTTACGATTCAACCCCGTAGATGGAAGCAGTATGCTCCTCCAGAACGCTGGTACACTTCTACCAGGCTACATGGTGTCACGTTCCAGAAGACAGTGATCTTCATAATCACTGATGTGAGAACCTCAAATCTCACAAGCTGTGAAATGTACTCAATGTAACAATTCTAGCATTTTACTCTGGTTTTACCTTTAGAAGCATAAACATATCCATGTTTAATTATTTAAAAAATATGACTTATAGCAAAACATGCTGCTGGCCATCAAATGTTTGCTTTATTTTTCTCTGTAACTTTTGTTCAAATGTCAATGAATATTTACAAAGTCCATCTGTGATGCACACAGAAAAGCAAGTTGACAAAGTATCTGCTATTGTTGTCAAATTTTAACCAAAATTGGAATGTGTTGACAAATTTTAGTACAACTCCCCAACATCAAACTTCATGAAAATCTGCTCAGTGCTTCTCAAGCTGTTACAAGCAGATGGATGGCAAGACATGTCATGAAGCTAAGAAGCAAATTTTTGCAACTTTCCTTGCACACATGCCAAAAGTAAACTGAGTCGGCAAGGATAAGTACATACACTGAAGAGGTTTCAAAATGAATAATGTCTCCATATGAGATTTGAGGCTCTTATGGCAGTTAGTTAAAGTTACCATTTTCTGTGATGTGACACCTTGCAGTTTGGTAGATTGTTACCAACATTTCAAAGGAACTGCTGTATTCATCTTCAGGGTAAAATAGTATGCTGAGCCTTGAAAATGTGGTCCTATATATCTTAATTCTTTCACGCTACCAATTTATATTATTCTTTATTCATTTGATTCAAATTCTTGTTCAACTTCCCTCCTCCTACATTTTACCCCTACATTCGCCCTTAGCACAACTGTCACTTCTTGGTGCTACCATCTCCTATTGGACAGCCCACAGCTCTGGTCCTGGTTCTCTTTCCCAATATTAGGATCACTTATTTCCATGCTTCGCTTGCTCTTGTACACTGAAGATGGATGGATGTAGCAAGTTCCTCCAAAACACTGGTAGCAATCTACCAGACTACGCAGCATCACATCTCAGTAGACCACAATCTCCAGTTCCTCCATATTTTAAATGTTAACAGCGATAATGTACTTTTCCATTTTGCATATTATATGAACATAACTGAAATGTTTTGCATATTAAATGTGAACTGCAGTTAACATTCTTTGAATGGACCTCTAGAATGTCTTCATAGAGCTACATACTCCGAAACTTAGTCTTGTGATTTGTAATGTTTGTTGTGCTCTATTGGATATCAGAATGAAGCATTTACATTTTTACAATTTCAGTGAACATAGTCAAATTCAATCAACATGTCATGTAATTATACCCACTGTCTTCAATATATAATTTTAACTGGTATGAATTTTACAAATGTTTCCAGTTTTCCTTCTGCTACAATAGAAGAGTCAGACTGGATGTTGATTCCCTCGGCATCGAGTATTAACAGGGCACTTTCCCAGTACAATGGCTTCAGTTACTAGGGTTTGATTCATGCAGTATAACTTTCACTACTGAAAGCCGATATCCAAGGCAACGAATCGTTCAAAGCACAGCAACGCAGGGACATAATAAGATTAACTGTTGGGAACAGCATGGCATATTCAGTTGGCTGAAAGGTTAAGTAAAGAGGCAGGAGTCAGACACAGAGATGAGACACAGTCATACTGAGAAGAAGGAGACTAGAGGCTAGACACCAGTGCAAGATCCAGACAACACTGAACGATTCATTAGCAAGGAGTTAAATGTGTTAACTACTTTAAGCAAGTGTAACTGTAATAGAGACGCCTAATAAATCCATTATCCGACCTATAACCTGCCATTTTTGTCACGCGTACCCCCTTACACATGACAATATAGTGCATAAAAAGAATATACATTAACTGGCATGAAAAAAAAATGCTGGCTACATTGACTGAAGTTTTTCATAAACCTCCCACCCTTGGTGAATGTCAGGCTCATGCCTTAAAACAGGCCTAGTCCATTCCTACATCCTTCCTATCATAACTATTCTACCTTACCTCACTTGATACTACTTGACTTCAGTAGTCACTACAGCATCATAAAATAACCAAATATATACATCTACATATATTGAAACAGTGATGACAGGTAATAACAGTTTCCCAAAAAATGGGAAAGAAATGCAACAATGAAAGTGAAACTGCTTTCAGCTCATTTCAAATATACACACATTTGCCTACTGAACTGACAATTAGAAAAAATAATACCAGAAATAAAAGATCAAACCTACATTTTAAAAAATGGCACTTAAAAACGTGTTTCTGCCTTGTGAGTAAACAACCTGAATTTGTGTGGCACAGAAACAAACTCGGTTCTTAAAAATGTCATGTCTAGAAATAACAACATCAGTCCTTGGCAACACAGCAGACTGTAGTAAAATTAAAAGTGCCCCATCCCTTCTAAAGTAATAACATGTAGTAAAATCTCAGATGAAATGTAATCCCCCCAAGAAGAAATCTGGACCAAAAGAACCACATATTAATGTTTATATGGAATGGGCAGAGAGTTAAGATTTAAAAACTGTTTAAAATGGAGAACATCCTATACTGATTTCAGTGTACAGTTACAAGTCATCAAGCCTCCTCGACTATGTAGTGCAGTTTCTCATTCTTTGTTCAACAGCAAAATTCACTACACTAACACCAAACAATTACACATATAAAAATTATATTTTCGGTCTCATATTGGTTTTTAATTAAATGTGTATTTTGTTAAACTTTCATTGCATCCTGGTGCATAACAACATATTTATGGTCATGTATGATGCATATTTCCTATATTCGAATAGTGACACAGTAACTAACACAGTCTGAGTCCCATAAGAAATGAGATATATGAAAGTGCTGAATTCTAATTGCAGTATATAATAATATAAAAACTGTGCTTTACAGAGTCTTCATTTAGTCAGAAATTATAAAATTTACAAATTCTTAATGTCAGCAAATTTTTGTTATACACAATAAGAGCATAACTGTACTCCAATTTACTCAAATAATCATTCTAAAGGCATGACTCCCTCAAAGAAAAATTTAGAGGAAAATATGAAATTCCTCTATGTAAAAACAAAAAGTAGTCAGATATACACAGAGATGTGTACACGCACAAATACACACACACATCCATCCAGGTAGGAGGAACCTTCATTTAAACAGCATTAAGAATAAGAAACTTCTTTAATCCTTGTGGCTCTTTGGGGGAGACACTGCTGAATGGTGAATACAAATGTAACACATATGTTCTTGTCTCTGAAACTATAACTTAAGGCCAGCAAACACTGATAATGATGATGATAATAATCATCATCATCATCATTTCTTATTGCAAATAGACCATAACACACAGTAAACACATCTTTAGCAAGAGTTTGAGCAAATAACCAATTCTAGGTTGCCAATATCCAGCTATCATAGTGGCTCTCTTAGAAAGCATGCTGTACTTTTACCAGTCATATCATGCAGCAGTTTCATGTCTTTAAATGCAAGTGCTTTCATCCTCTCACCTGTTTTGCTGCATGACGAAGTTTTAAGTATTATCTAAGAGTCAATTATTCAGTAAGACAAATACTGATAACCTGAAATCAGAATACTGAATATTTGGGCCATATTTTGGTCTAGTGGCACCATAATGACATGGTTAAACATAAACTTCACAACTCCCCTATGCCCATAAAAATTCATACAAATTTTGATTACTGAAAAATACATTTCAATACATGATACAGCTCCAAAATATGTGGGCATGTTATCATCTGAATATATGCCTCTGGATGAATATAACTTGTATAACCATCAAAACAAAAGAATGCCACCAGTGACAAAAGCCAATATACACAGTAATCATGACACTGCCATGCAATTTCCAATATTAGGTCTACTTGGCATGTTATAGATATTAACTACACTCCTACTCATTTTATTGGTCTTACTGAGCACATTCTTTCTTTAAATTGATATTTCTGAACAATTTTTTCTGCGATTCTATCAGATCTCTTTATTTCAACATCTTTTTTTCCAACTAATTTTACAGTGTTGTATGAAGTCTGTTATTGGTGAAACACAAAACGTCCGTTACAACACATACATATAGCAAAAATGTATTATATATCATTTTTGTGATAGAAGTTTCTAAGTATACTGCACCCTTATTCTAAAGTATGTGATTTTAGGATGTTCTGATCAACATGACAATTCTAGAAGATTTGAGGGAAACATGCTGTGGTGAATACAGCTAACAGATAAGTACACTGCAGAATTTGGGCACCAACCATCAAACAAAGATAAAAAATTGACACAGATCTAAATTAAATCTAAGATACTATCAACAATATAAAACACAAAAATTATCACTGGTTAGTTCTTCTACACAAACATGGAGATCTTTTTGGCACAGCGATTTTACAAGCTTGTTTTAACATTCTATTCTTTAAGTATTCACATTATATGGGAAGATCAAAATTAGGTCTTAACCAAACATTTCTTTCATGTAATTCAAATATCATTAAATAATAAAATATTTTCTATTAATTATTGTAAAATTTTAGTTTATAAGATTCCTTGACACTTTCATGAATAAAAATTACTGAAAATTTTAATTTGAAATATAACTTGAACAAAAAGAAATAAAAATAACTTCCAGTATTAAGGAACACTATATTCGAAATCTGTTCTTTGAAATTTCAAAACTTTAGGTACTGCACTCAGTCCAAAATTTGGACATTTTCACAGATTCTTAGCATAACTAAAGATTTCAAGAAACCCTAACACACAATGCAAAAGAGATATAATTTCAAAACTGTAAAATATAAATTCACTAATGTTATGTAAGCAAACCAAATTAAGTAATCGGGGGGAGGGAAGGAGAGTACATTATACTGTTGCTCTACTGCAAATCTGAGCCATTTCCAAACCATTACCCTGACAGCCTTCAAAATTGTTCTTTGAACATTAAATCTTCTCTTGTAACACCTAGAATCATAGCTTATCCAAGAAGGGTCAAGCTGGTTTGTAAAGTTGAATAAGAGAAACATAATACTCATGAAAACCATGTCATGGAAATCCATTTTCCCACATTACTTTACCATGCATCAAAATATGAATTACACATAACAGATAACCAGTGTCTGAGTATTTATCAGGTCACACTGCAGCATGCCTAGCAGAATCTGTCCTGTTAGGGCTTAAAGGCCTCATCTGGCTGGATAATGAAAACCACAAAAAGAGATCCTTTGACAAATAAAAGTAGAAATGTTCTGCAGTCTGTACAATCTGGGTGATCACATTGTGTGCCGGATCAACTGCTGGAAGCAGAATAAAACCACTCATCCTCACTGAAGAAACAGCCAGTTTAAAAGGAAGAAGTTTACAGTAGGAAACAAAATGCCTGATCAGAATCATGACCTTTTAAGTGCTCATTCATCTCACATAACCTACATTACATAATAAGTAAGGTTATTATACATAAAGAAAGGAAGCGTTAGTATCATCCTTGTTCACAGTTTCAATATGAATTTAATTTCCTTTTACTTGTTCATGAGCACATGTTAATGTGATGTACTCAGGGTCAGGTTGCTAAATTTGTTTTGTTATCCAATCTTGATAGTTACAGGCACAAAATTCAGAGAGTTTGCAGTTATCATATACCCATATACACTATTACTTAGAATATAAGACACCAATTTTTCCACATTTTCTTTCCAGCTGAAAAACTTGAGGTGCCTCTTAAACTCTGAGGAACTATTCACCAGTGTGCAAACTATCCATGTAGTAGCCTCAGAAAATAAGAATGGAAAAAGTAGTAAGGTGGTGCCTATAACATCGTTTCTTCCAGACAGAAATAAATAAATTTAAAAAACTCCCACTGAAACAGATTGTGAAACATCGTTTCTTCCAGCCAGAAAAAAAAAGCAGCATTGTCCCTGGACACTTATTATCTTCTAAGGAAGGACTCCATTCCCTGGAACCAGTTCCATTTACCAATTACATACGACGACGTTGCTGAAAAGACTAAGGAATATGTAAAATAAATAGATTATGACAATATACTTCATCGGAACAATCAGGTTTAAATAGGGTGATTGCTGAGAACACAATCCTCGACTTACGACTCGTTCGCCAAGGACTTATCTAATGCAGCCATATAGCTGATCGCATTGTGTACATTTGCTTTATCTTATATAAAATATCAACATAATTTTTCTTCATTAGTTGGTTGATCAAAGACAGTGACAGAAAGAGGTAACCACAATCACAGTGTTAGGTTAGAATACCAGTCCGCCATATTGGCCTACATGTTACATTTACAGACCACAAAACTGTGAGAAAAAGTGCCTGCTTCTGTAATAGTTCTGTATTATTGTAATATAGTATTCTAGTTTTTTATTTGTGTGTATTGAGGTTTATTGAATCTGGATTAGACTGCAGAAGAGAGCTGTCTGAATAATGGTAGGAGCTGGAAACAGAGATTCATGCAGACAAAATTTTACCCTATTGAAAATACTACCACTGCCCTCCCAAATATATACATATTCCCTTTTGATGTTTGTTGTTAATAATATGGAACTGTTTACAGAAAATTCTGATATGTACAAAATAGTAACTAGAAATAGTTCAAATTCACATTTCCTCTTATCAAATCTAACAGTATTTCAGAAGGGTCGGCAGTATCTTGGAATTAGAGTTTATAATAGTCTTCCAAGCAATATAAAACAGTTGTCCAGGAATAACAATCAATTTAAGAAAGCATTACTACTGTTTCTTCATTTACATATATTTTATAATATAGATGAATTCTTTAATTATAGGGATAAAATAACTCAATAATTGATTTTATCTGGATATATATATGTATATTATCAAGTGAATATTTTAGATTTTTATACTTATATTGCTATGTTACCATGTTGTTATGGTGTTAATTGAAAAACTGTAAAGGTATATTTTACTTTCTGATTCACTAAATAATTCCATCCCTGTGTGATTAATACAAAAGTTGAATGACCATGTACTTATAATGGCGGCATCATATCTCAAGCAGTTAGTCTCTAGCTTCCCACTGTGGCGGCCTGGGTTCGATCCCAGGTCTGGTCAAGTGGAATTTGTGGTGGACGAAGTGGCGCTGGGGCAGGTTTTCTCTGAATGAAATTCTATTAATTAATTAATTACATTTTTTTGGCATTCAAGGAACAAGGTTAAGTTGGTTCAAATCCTACCTAACATATAGAAAACAAAAGATTGAAATAAAATCATCAAATTCAGTCCAAAGTACCTAATAAAATTGGGGAATAGTAAAACATGGAGTTCCACAAGGGTCAATTTTAGGGCCTTTGCATTTCATAATCTATATAAATGACCTCCCTCCTACACTAAAGACCTCATCAATACCTATAATATTTGCAGACGACACTAGTGTTATAATTTCTGGTAAAAATTGAGACGACTTCTGCATGCTATCAAACAATGTTCTTTCGCAAATGAGTTAAACAGTTTTCTGCAAACAAGCTGTCCCTGAACCTAGAAAAACAAATGTAATAAAATTCATAACAAAAAACTCAGGACAATATCCATTAAACACTGGATATAATGATAAATATATGTAGAAGATAGAGAAAACACAAAATTCCTTGGCTTCCAAACTGATAATCATTGAAACTGGAAAAACCATATCAATCAGTTGATTCCAAAGCTAAGTAGAGCATGTCATGCAGTTAGATTCATGTTACATATCAGTAACATTGACACTCTCAAATCAATCTAGTTTGCTTACTATCACTCTTTAATGAAGTATGGAATAACTATCTGGGGTAATTCATCTGACAGTAAAAAGGTATTTACATTGCAAAAGAAAATTGTAAGAAACATGATGGGTATCAAATCCCGTAATCCTGTAGAGATCTATGTAAGAGACTACAGAACTTAACTTTTCCTTGTGAATATATATAGTCATTAATAAACTTCATAAAAAATAGAATATACAAAACTATAATTTTGCCTGTGGTTCTGTATGGGTGTGAAACTCGGTCTCTGACATTAAGGGAGGAAGATAGACTGAGGATGTTTGAGAACAGGGTGTTGAGGAGAATATTTGGACCGAAGAGATATGAAGTGACAGGAGGTTGGGGAAAACTGCATAATGAAGAGCTTCATAACTTGTACTCTTCTCCACGTATAATTAGAATGATCAAGTCAAGGAAGATGAGGTGGGCATGGCATGTAGCACGAATGAGGGAGACAAGGAATGCATATAGGATATTGGTGGGAAAACAAGAAGGAAAGAGACCACTGGGAAGACCAAGGCATAGGTGGGTGGACAATATCATAAAGGATCTTAGAGAGATAGGATGGGATGGTATTGATTGGACTGATCTGGCTCAGGATAGGGACCAGTGGAGGACTTTTGTGAACATGGAAATGAACCTTCGTGTTCCATAAAATGTTTGGAAATTCTTGAGTAGCTCCTGAATTGGCGGCTCCTCCAGAAGGGCTCAGCTCCATGAGTGAGTAAGTCAGTAAGTAAACTTTAGTACAAATAATGAAGAACTTTTTCAGATGAATGCGGACGTCCACGGTGTTAACACAAGACACAAACACTGTCTTTATAGACCAATTGTTGTGAAAACAACACAGCAAGCCATGAATAAACACGGACGATACTAAGAATCTCCTTCTCAAGATAGACAGGCGGCACAAGTTCAGCCCCCTTCAAGAAAGATGATAGGAGAAGTGACATGAATCTACTTCTTTTATAAATTTTAAGTTAAACAACAAAGTTTTATACACTTTAATACCAGGAAAGCTGCTGTGATTGTGAAAAGTTGGATTTTCTGTATATTGTGTATTCCAGGCATTGTGTGTGTATGTAGTTTAGCACTCGGAACACCATTGTGATAGTGGTTTCCAAATAAGTATCAATGTTCCCTCTGAAGATGATCCGTAAGGATCGAAACATGTAAGGGTGCTAAGTTTTCAAATAGTAAAACTTAAATAGTCACACTGGACGGAGTTGTTTTGTCTTTGTAACTGTTAACCTCTCATGCTTTCAGAAAAGCGCATATTATGCTGGGAACAAAATTTTCAATAACCTGCCTTCTGATCTCAAAGGTCTTATGAATGAAAAAGCACAATTTAAAATAGCACTGAAATGATACTTAAACGCACTCTCATTCTACTCTGTTGATGAATACCTATTGTCTAGAAAATAACTTCTGTATCTTTAAATAGCCTTGTGTGTAGTCACTATGTATTCTTGGTTTCTCCTGTGTGAGAACTCCATCGGTACTGTACATATGTTTTTGTGTTTATATGACATATTCCACATCCTACAGTCATTCTGACTAACTCTGGATTCATGGAATGGACTGCAATGCAATGCAATAAGAACCTAACACAGACATCATATTCAGAGTGAGTCATCAAGCAACATCATCCATCCTCCCCCACAAGGTTAACTGTGAGTCAACCCCAAACTTTCAGTTCAGTCACTACCTGACATTCTTACTGTTCAGTGTGTTCAGTTTTCTACCAGTTTTTACCCATGGAAGAGCATTGTACACATGATGCTGCATTCAAAAGAAAAGCTATTCTGTGGAATGATGAGATAGGTAATCAGGCAGCTGGTAGAAAGTATACAGTAAGTGAGACATGCATGCATCATTGGTGAATCATAAAAACAAAACTGTTTTCATGTCTGAAAAATAGGAAGTCTTTTTCTGGACCAAGGAAAGGGGGAAATCCTGAGACTGATGTCTCTGTTTTGGAGTATTTCAAAGATTTATGAAATAAAGGATTACCTGTCACTAGGGAGGCCTTAATGTCCACAAAAAAAAAGTTAGAAACAGTAACATATCTGTTTATGGTGTGAAAAGTTTATGAAGAGAAAAAGCTTATCATGATGATTAAGGATGAAAACTAGCCATAAACTTCCTTCGGATTTTCAAACTAAACTGACTGAATTTCAGCATTTTGTTATTGATTAAGGTACAAAAACACCAATCTAGTGATAATTCCTAGTGGCATGACAACTTTATTACAACCACCTGGTGTGTCAACTAACATGCAATTCAAGCATCTTTCTGATAAACATTATGATGCCTGGCAGAATAAAGACAATCATATATTGACATCAAGTGCCAAAATAAAACGAGTATCAGCATCAATAATCATGGAGTTCATATCATAAGCTTACAAAGAAGTGCCAGTAAATATTATTCCATGATCATTTTTAAAGTGACATTAAAATGACATTCTTTTGAACAACTGTGAAAAAGTGGCAAGGATGCATCATCTTCAGATAATAAAAGTGCAACTGAAAGGTCATGGATGAACTGCCTGATTAAAAAGATAGAAAGGAATCTGCTTGCAGTGAAAATTTTAAATTTCTATTTCATTCTGGTATATTTTAATTGATGTCTTCTAAATAAGTTCACTGAAATAAATATGACATTCTATTTTTTCCCTAAAACCCTCATTTAAAAATCAGACGCATCTTAAATTTGAGGGTGTCTTATATTGGAAGTAATATAGTATATAAAATATAAATTAGTTTTGTCATCCACTCATGAAAATTATATGAATTCACTATAGCAGTTTGAAATATTATACATATACATAATAATTCTTAGTATATAAATTATTCAGTATGTAGAACTGATACTTCATTTAAGTGAAGTAACTGAAAGTATTCATAAAGTCCATAAACTCTTCTATTGTTCAGATTCAAATCACACCATCCATTTTCTCTTTCTGTACACCTATTGTTCCAGCTCTCCCATTCTTCTTGAAGTCTTGCATTACATGAACAGTAGTCAGTGAAAATTATTAAATCACAACATAACATAAAACTACATGACTGAATTAATACTGAAGCATTTTTTTTTATTGCTAGTGGGGTGGGACTAAGTCCCTTGCACTGTGGCCACTTCGGCCTATTGTACCAGTCCCAGATGATAGGTGAGGGTGATTGTGGAGCAATTGGTGGAATGAAGATTGGTAGGGGAAACAGAAGTAATCGGAGAAAACCTGCCGCAGCTCCACTTTGTCCACAACAAATCATACTTGACCACACCCGGGATTGAACACGGGCCACCGCGATGGGAAGCCAGTAACTAACCACTTGAGCAATGACGTGGCCCCAATAATACTGAAGTAACAAGTGAATGTTTATTCTGAACCCATGTCCATGTCACAGTAGGTACTTACGTGTGGCTAATCCATGCTGTTTGCATTGAGGGACTTCTCTGTCTCTGCAGCAACTGCAGTTAAACCCATATCTGACTCATGTTGCAGTAATCTTTTGTCTAGTTTGTCTACAGTAGCACTAAGTTCCTTCTCCCACTTTTTGTCACTACTCTGCCCTTCTCCTCCATCGATAGGTCGTACTGCCAGCTCTCGCACTCTCTGTTTCAGCATCTCCAGATCCTAAAATCCAGTAACAGGTGTTTTTAGAAAACAGGGGTAAGATCAATATAATGAGAATTTAAAAAATTTGTAGAAATGATTTTATATTGTGTGCCTGCAATATCTGAAAATGGTTTAAATATGTAATCTTAAGAACAAACTTCTAATTATGTACACAGTGAAACTGTGATATATAATGAGCATGGCTACAAGACGGACTGCACCCTAACAACAAGAGGAGGAGATCAGCACCATTAACACATTAATATTACATATGTGTAAAAATCTCATAAAATGAAGGCATTTTGCAGTAATTTCATCACAATAAGTGACTCCAAGCCAACTGTCACTTTTTGCATGAGCTATTTGTGCAGGTTTACTTCTGTACGTAAGGAAGTCATAAAATTGTAGTGATAACCCAGAAGAAACAGAGATACAGGTGCAAGAAATTGCACACTGAATTGAAATTCTCTACATATGCCCTCTGCAAGGCCAGCATTCTGTATTGTTTTTTCTTCATTTCATCCCGTAATTTTCTCAGAAGGTTCTGGTAGTACTTGCCAGTGATGCTGACGCCCTTTTGCGCATAGTCGGTCATGATGACACCCCACCAATCCCAGAACACACTCAACATCACCTTTCCTGACGACGGCTGGGATTTGGCCTTCTTTGGTGTTAGCAAGTCTGCATGTTTCCACTGCTTGCTCATTTCCTTTGCTTCAGGGTTCAGGGTCATAATGGTAGACCCAACATTCATCTATCGTGATCAGGCAGTCAAAAAATTCCACCTTTTCGTCTTGACACAACTGCAAAAGTTTATTTGCCACATCCATTTTTGCTGTTTTTGAACTGGTGTCAATAACTGTGGCACCCTACGTGCAGTGACCTTTGTCATGTGCAACTTGTCATGGATGATACTGAAAACTGACCCATGGCTAATGCGGACCTCATGAACAACAGCTTTGATAGTTAGTTGGATAGGATCAAAGCTTCCACTTGTGCCACAATTCCTGGTTCCTCAGCGAGAGATGGTCTTCCAATTTGGGATTCATCTTCAAGGTTTGTCTGTCCACAATGAAAGCGCCTCTTCCCCCTGACCACTGTGTCATATGATGGTACAACTTCCTGATACACAGCGGTCATGTGGTTGTGGATCTCCCTGGCTGTGACTTCCCTTTCAAATGCAGGGACCGTATCAGAGTGTGAGGCTCCATTTTCTCAACCAATGTCACCATTTTGCTTCTGTCCCTTCTGGTGGCTCCGTCTGTCCACTTGGTGTGGGAAAATCTGACTGTTCGGCAAGCTCAGGAAATGAGCTATCTCCTATAGAGAACGATATTTTGGAATTATGATTTTCTCATGGTGATAATTAAAACATAACTTCCCATCGTATACACCCACTCCCACATACACTTTCATTGTATAGTGTTTAATTAGTTAAGAACAGGGACAACTTTACCTTACCTTACTTTACTTGTGGCTTATCAAGTTCATAAGATTATTATAAATTTTATCAGCTAAGTACAATTCTTACCTCCTCTTCTTCATAATCATCATCATCCACAACTTCACTATCATCCTTTTCACTCACTGCAGCAGAACTTGTTCCAACAGAAACACTTCCTAGAGATCGCAGATCACAACGGTCCAATTCCAACTCATAGTCAGTCAATATTGACATCTTATTTGTTCCATCACTTCTGTCTAACTGAGAGTCCTTCCACTCCTGTACTGTGCCACCACTACAGTGAGTACCGTCGAACTCTGAAACGTCATAAACATTAAGTTCTGCTCCCACTCCAGGCTCCCGTGGCCCATGTGGTGGCACCAAATCATCAGCGACCTTATGTAAACAACCACTACCACGCTTGTAATGGATTTCTTCTGAGATTCTTTCGAGCTCCCTGAGTGATTCTGCATATTCATTCTTAACCTTAGTCACAGCTTGCTGCAATTCTTCTACTCTGTCTTTCTGTGTTGCAAGTTGACCCTGACACAATGCTTTCTCCTCAAAGTATGGCCGTGATTTGGTTATGCTACGGCGAAGACGCTGCTCCAACTGTTGTACCTAACAAAGACAACACTTATGTACTTCACGTACAAACATTCAATGTCAATTTCATACTTCTGCTCTTTAATGTATAATATGCAGGACAGAACATTTATCTATTCAGAGGAGTGGGTACAGCTACTTTAAGGTCTATGAAACATCAATGGATTAGTGGCAGTGCAACCTCAATACAAGAATTTGTAAAATTCATAACTATGGTCATTATAATGAGTACTTGCAATGTCCAAAAATGGTTGAAATATGTAATCTTCTAGCCCAGTTTCTAATTACATATATTACTATAAAGCATGAAAGTTTAAAATATTAATGCTTGTGTGTCAGTTCATTACAGTGCATTCAGACCTCAAAAACAAAAGTAATGAAAAATGCACATACTAACAAGCTTTGCCATTATTTGTTTATTCATCTGTCTGTCTGCATGGATGGCTCAAGCACCATTAAATGGACTGTAATGAAATTTGATATTGGGAAATTTTTACAGAAATCTGCTACCATATTTCAGTTTTGATTACAATAATATAATGAATACTTCACGTGAAAACCAAAGAGTGATTACGCATGCATTTCATTCATAACTCGCTATATTTTTATCAGAACAAAAAATGTGGACAGAGATGACCCTCACATTCTAGGCCTAATGCACTTTTCCCATCATCAGATTTTTGAGACAATTAAACAAAACGAATTTTATGCTGTCAACAAATACTAATGGACCAAACAAGCTAGAACTGTTACACTATGTGAATATTTCCTAAGTTGTTTTAAGTGGATATCATGTAGACATGATAGCAGCGAAGAATAATTTAACATTCTTCACATCTTTAATATTTTCTGAACTGAGAATTACAGATTTTCTTGTAATTGTAATTTAATGAATTAAGGTTGACCTTCTTTTAATCTTCAGTTTCAGTGACTCAAAGTCAATAAATTCATGGAATTCAGATTTTCCTCAGCTTTGTGTTCAAAACCTTTGGTCCCAAAAGAAACCTTGCATAATGGTTTCAATATATTTTACACCAAACAAAAAAAAAAAAAAAAGATTATAAAACAGTTTCAACCATGCAGAGTGAATGGAGGAAATAAAATTTTCTATAAGACTTTACTAATAAAAACAAGACACAAAAAAGACAGATTAATTCTGTTCACAATACTCTGATTCACAACAATCTCTCAGAGACAATGATGATTTAAACAAAGAAATATCCACTGCCAGCCAAAGGATGGCAAACGTTTTTAAGGCTAAATCTCTGAACTTAAAGAGCAAATTTTCTGCATACATGAACATAAATGTCATTCTCATCAACCCCTATCCACATGCAAATTAATTCTTCATTATAAATTCAATCATATTTTTATTAAACTATTGCTTTACAAAAACTGCATACCAAAAAAAATTTGGTGTGCTATTTATGGCATATGTGAAAATGGTTTGCTATAACTGTCACAATAACAAAATTACCTTTTGCTCAGCTGCATTGAAGAGAGTTGCCCTTTTTTGGTGTTCTCTTCCACTTTCAGCCTTCTGGTTCTCTGCATCCATAACCTTTCCGGCAACATGAAAAATATGATTCATAAAAGAGGTACAGGTAACACTGTCCATGTACTTAATCATGTGATTAAGCTGTCATGAAGACAGAGGTATAGCTGGACCATTCTTAACCCTGGCATTAAATGATGGAGGTGACTGGTCAACTTCACACTGTGCTGCTTTACCCCTGGGGATGGAGCCCCCCAGTACCCATAGTGGTCATTCAGCCCATAGCCTACTCACTATACTGACTGAGCTATGCCTGGTCCTAAAGTCTAAAGTATGCAGCAGAAACGATATTCATCATATATTATGAAACTGTTATTACACTTCGATTTTATAATGTATGATGAATATCATTTCTGCTTCAATGACACCGTGTATTAATCACACTGCCTAAGGAGTTAGTTGAAGTCTAGCAGCCACCTAAGTTAGTTAAAATGTAGCCGCCACCGAAGACAGTTAAAATTTAGCAGCCGCCCAAGACAGTTGAAATATAGCAGCAGTTGCGGGAAGAAGAACCGAATGGGTGGTTGGAAGATTTGATGTGATAATTTGTGATACTGCCGATGGCAGTAATTGTGAGATTGTGAATTGTGTGATTGTAAGAGCGAGTGTAACAAATTCGCTATATTCAAATAAGGAGTGAAGTTGCTTGTCGCGTGTTATACAACCAACACGTGACAATTTGGTGTCAGAATTGGTTTACGAACTTGAACACGCCTCAACGAATTATACTGCTACAAAATGGAGAAACAAGATATGCAGCAAATAATCAACATGCTGGCAAAATTACACGCCAACCAGGTGAAGGCAGAGGCCAACCAAGAAAAGGCAGTGGCTCATAGAAAGACAGACAAAGAAGAAATGCTGGCAAGAATGGATGCCAACATGAAATCCTACCAAGAAGAGATGGCGGCCACTAGGAAGAAAGAGAATGACGATTTAATGGCCAAATTAGATGCCAACCAAGAAAAGGGGCGGCTGATAGGAAGGCCGACAAAGAAGAGATGAAAGCCGACAGAAAAGCCGACATGGAAGAGATGAAGGCCGCAATGCGATCTGTGTGGTCAGAGTTGGATGAGACACTCCAACATAGAATTGAAGCTACCCAAGCAAAGACGAAAGCCATGCAAAAAGAAACGGGCACCAGCCACACGGAGATGGGGTACACATTTAATATATTATATTTAAGCATCCTGTTGCACTATACTCTTCTACATGTAATAATACAAATGCCGTCATGAATGCAACAATTTATTTGGTTGTAGTTCTTTGTCTTTTCTTCCTCTACACTACATGTTTCGGCCGTAACTGGCCATCATCAGGTGTATTTTTCACTACGAAGCTGTCACACTGCATACAACCCAAAATCAGTTTTGTTTAAAATCTCACCAACTTATGCTCGTCAATTTTATTTTAGAATTCCAATTTAAAATTTTAAACTTTAAATTTAAAATTCAAAATTGAAAGTTTTAAATCACAGGGATACCTGCTCTGTCTACATGTGCTGCAGCAGTTATTTCTTGAACGGTGCTGAAAACAAGAAATAGCCGCTGCAGCACATGGAGACACAGAGCAGGGATCCCTGTGATTTAAAACTTTAACTTTTAAATTGGAATTCTAAAATAAAGTTGATGAGCATATGTTGGTGAGATTCTAAACAAAACTGACAGGCTGGTGTTTTAGATTTTGGATTGTGTGCAGTGTGACAGCTATGTAGTGAAAAATACACCTGATGATGGCCAGTTACGGCCAAAACATGTAGTGTAGAGGAAGAAAAGACAAAGAACTACAACCAAATAAATTGTTGCATTCACAATGGCATTTGTATTATTACATATAGAAGTATGCATTTAAACCCGAAATAGAGGAAGAGACTATGGTCTGCTAAGAGATGGAGGCACATCTACAAGAAGAAAAGCCAGCCTCAGTGGACACTAAACCTGCGGCAGCACAACAAGAAGAGGTCCCCATAGTGATACCAGCTGGAGAACCTGAAGAAGGAGCAATGAAAACCAGAAAAAGAGATGACGGCCTGCCAAGAAATGGAGGCACGTCTGGAAGAACGGCCAACCTCACTGGACAGGAAACCTCAGGCAGCAGAACAATGAGATGTCCCTGCAGAAGACGCCGAAGTAATGCCAGTCAGAGAACCGAAGAAGTAATGGCATAGGGCCCGAAACCAGCGAAATATGAAGAATTCGACACGGGAAAATTGTGGACCCCAGAAGAAGTTGGCCATAGCCCGCACAGGGATGAGCCACAGTGTGGAAGTGGCATGGCAGAAGAAAACCAGCAGGAAGATGTCCCACAGTGCAACAGTGGCATGGCATAGGAGGAACATCTTCAGGAAATCTTCGACCCAAAGAAATTGTGAACTGTGGAAAGAAATGACCACCACCAGAATGAAGATTACAGAGGAGAATACATGTTGGAAGTGCCCTGAATGCAACACTGGCATAAAGGACAGAGATCTGAAACAGCTACTATGAGTCTGCAACCAATTGAAGGACCCAACCAAGAACGCCATCGGAGGGTGCAGATCAGGACAGCGATCGCACCTAGGAGGGAGAAGTACTCATAAGAAGACCTTCTACAAGATCATCAGCAGGAAGATCGTGAAGCAAATAGCCGGATCTTCTGTCGGATTATGACAAAACAAGGAATGGACCTTATGGAGGGGTAGGCCCCCTCCAAAGCGGAAAAAGAAAAAATGGATCGAGGAGGAGCCGGTAACGTAGAAGTACTGGCCACCCGAGCAAGAATGAATGTGTGATGGATGAATGTGATACAACTGGATCTTCTGGCAAGTTATCAGGAAACCGCTCTAGACGAGCTGGTCTTAAGAGGGGAGCGGATGTAACAGATGGAAAATAGTTGCTGCAAGAGGAGTAGCAGGACAAGAAAGAAGACGTTGCAAGAACAGCCTGCAAATAAAAGGAACGGGGATGTACCGTTAGGCTATTCGGGACGAACAGCCTTAAGAAGGATGCAGTGTGACGTATTGCACTATGGAGGACATCCCCTCCCCCACCAGCAGTGACGTAACAATATCGGGTGCTGCCGCTACTACGGTACCAGGCCGGTCAACACTCCGCCCCCCTCCCTCGCGGTGATGTAGCAGGGGATGCCGTGGTTGCTATGCAGCAGTAAACAACTCTCAACAGCGTTGCCCGGCAACACCTGTAAACACGGCGACTAGGCAACAAGGAAGGGAGGTGTTTTCCCGTTGTCTGGCTGAGGGTTTATAAGAGAACCACACTGCCTAAGGAGTTAGTTGAAGTCTAGCAGCTGCCTTAGTTAGTTAAAACATAGCTGCCGCTGAAGACAGTTGAAATATAGCAGCAGCCGCAGGAAGAAGACCTAAACACGTGGTTGGAAGATTTGATGTGACAATTTGTGATACTGCCGATGGCAGTAATTGTGAGATTGTGAATTGTGTGATTGTAAGAGCGAGTGTAACAAATTCGCTATATTCAAATAAGGCGTGAAGTTACTTGTCGCGCGTTATACATCTAACACGTGATAATACTTTCACAACTTAACTTATTGCCTGATGAAATACAGCCTCAAATCATCATGGAACCTAGAAACTGCATAGGTGGTACCTGCTTCACTAAATATCATGAATCAAACAAACCCTCTCAAAGTAACATAAGCTGTATTTTACATAGTAAATTCTCAAGAAAAGTTTAACTGAAGGCTTTCTTCATGATAACCTTAGCATTAAGACCACAGATGGAGAAGGAACAGTTGAGGTTTATCTCCTTTTCAAAAATTTTGCAACAAGTTAAGAGAAGTTCCAAACCTTGATGGTGGCATGATTAAGCATTTCTTGCCATGCATTATCAAACTGCCACTCGTGCTGCTTGCTGAGAAATCGCTGCTCGGCCAAGGCTACTGTCTCCTTAGCTGCCTGATGAATTTCTGTAACGTAAAACAGCATCTCTACATTATCATCGTAGCCTGCAATGTGTGTCAGGTGGTCTATGTTCTTTATTGGCACTGTGAATTACAGAGGTTACTTAGGATCACATAACATGGGGGTGATTATGAAGCAGTAGTATAGTAGTAGTAGTAGTAGTAGTAGTAGTAGTAGTAGCAGCAGCAGCAGCAGTGGTGGTGATGGTAATCTCCATATACACCATGATGGCAAATTCAAAGCAATATAGCTAGACCAGCTTCAATAATATGCTGTATTATTGCATCTCATAATACATCCAAATAAAAAAAAAACACTTATTTATAAGCTACAACTTAATATGTTGTTCCATCTAATCAAATTCAGTATATATTTACAGCTGAAGTATTGGAATTGCTTTATGGAAATGTCATACAATCATTTCCACTTTACTATTTACAGAGTAAATTTAGTATTACCTACACCAGCAATATTTAAGAGGCATAATTTGATGAACATGTACCATTGGCTCTCTGAAACTGAACAGCTGCTCTCTGGCACTCCAGCTGAGCCTTCTTTGCCACTTCAAGAGAATCATAGTATGGTCGGGCATGCTCAATACAACTCCCCAACTTCTTACTCAGCAGTTTTAAACGACGTGTTGATTCATTCAAAAGCAACCTGAATGCTGTGTTTGCTTCCTGCAAATAATTTGACAAAGCTAATGCTCACTGTCATTTAAATAAAACAGAAAAAATATATCACACTCTGATGGGCCACATCTGGGTAGGAGCTGAATGATCCCACTAGACCAGTGTTTCTCAACCGCTGGGCCAGGGCCCAGTACCGGGCCTCATCTCATAAAAAAAATTACCAGGCTGCAGCCTCACAAAGGTTGAGAACCACTGCATTAGACTACATGTAAATAAAACAATAAGATTATGGTTTACTGGGACATTTAACTACGTTCTGTCAACTGCACTCATTAGTTTCATCACATGTGTGTGTGTGTGTGTGCGCGCGCACATGCGCGTGTGAGTATGTGTGGGGTATGAACAAATTGACGCTGAAACTGGAATAAAGGTTCAGATTCAATTTTTGTGTACAATTATGTTCCGATCATCTCTCAATCTAGAACTTGCCAGTCTTCTGCATTCTCCATAACTTTAGGCTGTCTGCTTCACCTGAATTAAAAAACTATGAATAATGACCATGGTGCCAAAAGGACTGTTTCCATGGGAGACCAGCCAGAAAATTTGCTAACAAACATATATTTATTCCATATAAAAGTATTTTTATTATTATCCTGGGGTATTCAGGGCAGAAGATGAAATTAAAAAAAAATAAATTTTTTGGTATTAACCATTTCTTAAAGAATGTTTAGCATGCCCCATACTAGCAGCCTCCGTAATCTAGGGGTAACATTCCCACCTCATGACTCAAGGTACGCAAGTTAAAACTCGGCGGAGGTCGTGGAATTTTTAAGGGTGGAAAAATTCAGGGAACAAGTCCTCCGGAAGGGACTTTAAGCCGTGGGTTCTGTGTCGTAGATTTATGGCATGTAAAAGATCTTCATGACTTTAGGAGACCTCTGAGCAAAATTAGGCAAAGTTTCCCGCCCAAGTAGTTTCTAATACCTCCGGTAGATGGGGAAGTATCGGGTACCACTGCCAGAAGTGGGCCAACCTCGCTGGCTGAGTGGGGCTGATAGCGAGCACCAGTACTGGAAGGGTATGGCGACAGTAGAAATTAATGGGGACGCATAATGGACCAATAACTGGTCTAAGTGCATGGGGAAACCCACCCCCTCTAATAATGAATGCCCCATACTACAGTTGTTCGGATAGCACTGAATTTTAAGAGGTTTTCTAAATAAATGATACATAAGGCAAAACCATAAACTGTGTATACTTACATCTAATTCTATTTCTAATTTGTTGATTTCATCAGTTGCACTGTTCAGTTTTTCTAATTCAATCTGTAAAGAAAATAAATAGTTTACTTACTATACATATAAACACACAACATGAGTTTCCAACTTGAAAATTTTAATATCTCTAGTAACTAGGCAACTTGGAGTAACAGTAATGAATCTGGCTTCCACTTGGAAGGTGCATTTTTTAACTGCGTCAATTGGAAAAGTCTGTGACCTCATCGGGAATTGAATCCATGACCTTCCAGCTTGTAGCATGACGTCTCAACCAACCACACTACGGAATGCCCCTTTGACTATTATATGTATAATCAAAGCAAAATTTTCTCTGAGGCGTGGAGAAAATTACATTTGATACATACATGTACAGAGTGTACATATGCATGTCTGGTATGATTTTAATGTTTCATATACATACATACATACATACATACATCTGCGTTTCAGGATATTCATAAGTGCAATCTGCACTGAATATGAAACATGTCACAAGCTTTACAAACAACAATACATATTCACAATTCCAACATGCCATATCACAATAACAAATAAACATAAATGCAAACAATGTGCATCTAAATAAATACATAAAATACGCAGGCCCTGAGGTTTACTCAGCCTCTAACAGAAATGAGTACCAGGAATTAATTAAATAATTTTCTTGGGGAGTAAAGCATGGCCAGCGCGTAAGGCTGACAACCTTACCGCCACCTTTGAGCCGATTGTCTAGATAATGTGGGACCCTCAACGTCTCACAACCCTATGGGCCTCCACAGCCTGGTACAGGGATAGCTTTACTTTTACTTTTTTTACTTTTTATATTTACACTTAATGTCTATATTGATGCCTACTGTGGGACATCCATCAGTCAGCATGCACTCCCCTTCTATTCCTTAGCTGCTGATCCTGACAGAAGAGCAAAAATTCATCAACAGTATATGACGGATTATGTGTTAGGACACCCCTTATTTCTTTTATAAACTGTTTTTGTCATGTACTAAATCAGTTAAATAATCAGGCAGACTGTTAAATATTTTTATACTCATGCAACAGAGCCCTTTCTGCCTCACTGCATAATGTGATTGTAGGACATGTAAATTTCTTTCATGTCCTGTCAGTCTCTCATAAACTGAATAATTAAAAATAGAATATTCAAGTTATTTATCATAAAAGTCATCAGAGATAAAATATATTGAGACACCAGTGTTAATATATTTAAGTTTATAAATGCTGGCCTACATGTCTCTCTATGTTTCATCCCCATTATTATTCCAATAGTCTTCTTTTGTATGAGAAAGATCTTGGCCTCTGACGAATTACCCCAAAAAACTATTCCATATCTCATGAGTGAATGAAAGTATGCATGATATATCATTTTAAGTGTTGTAACATTACTATATGTTTTCATAATTCGTATTGCATAACATGCCTTTCCCAATCTGGGTAACAATGATTCAACTTGTGTCTTCCAATTCAAGAACTTATCAATTTCAATGCCCAAAACTTTAATATGAGTTTCCTCTTGTAATAATTCATCGTTAAACTTTAAATGTACAGGCATATTGTCATGATTGATTGTTTCAAATTTTAACACTTTAGTTTTCCTCAAGTTTGGGGATAAGCCACTGTATTTAAACCACTTACTTAAGGAATTTAACATAAGTTTAGACCTTTCTTGAATTTTATCGATATTAATACCCAACACTAATATACTTGTATCATCGGCATACAGCAATGACTTGTTTTCAGTACTTAATGCTGATGGCAGGTCATTAATATATAAAAGGAACAACAAAGGACCCAAAATCGAGCCCTGTGGCACTCCATATTTGACAGTTCCCCAGTCTGAACAGCATTTTCCATTTTCATTATTATAGAGTTCAACTCTTTGTCTTCTCTTTTCCAGATAGAACTTCAACCATATTTTTACTTTACCACCAATGCTGTATGTTGCTAATTTACTCAAAAGAATATCATGACTCACACAGTCAAATGCTTTTGTCAAATCACAAAAAATTCCTAATGAATGACTGAGGCCAACGTTTCTAAAATATGATTAGTTAATGTATTGTGACATGTTGCGCAACGGAGGACCCCTCCCTCCCCAGCGGTACGTGGCGGCATTGTAGCAATGTCGTGACTATGGTAATAGGCGAGTCAACACCCCGCCCCTCTACCCGTGGTGACGTAACATGGGTAACAGGCAACAGCGGTACCCATTGCATAACAGGCAGGCGCTGCAACTATATAAGGGAACTACACAGCTGCCAAAGTTACTTAAAGTGTATCAGCGGCCGAAGACACTTCTCCAGTCAGCAGTTAAGAGTTAAGTGCATCAGTCGCCGAAGTGAGTGCTCAAGGCAGCAGCCTAAAAGTTGAGTTGGAATCTAGCTAGCAGTGAGCAGTAAGGAGTGAGTTGAATTGTAGTAGTCACCAATTTCAGTTGTAACGAGTGAATCGTGATAGTGTGAAGAGATTTGGTTGTACGGTTTGTAAAGTGTGGAAACCCACAACAGTGTTATAATTAATTGTAGCCGATACTTGTAGGTTGTTATACAAACTGATTAACAATCTGAACGGTGTCTTCAGTAACTATATACATTACAGTATATATTGCCATTTCTGTGTTATTGCTTTCTCCAAATTCAAACTGTGCAAAAGACATTAAATTGTTTGTATGTATGTGTTGCTTTATCCTATTGTGCACCACTCTTTCAAAAATTTTAGAAAAACTTATTAGCATTGGTCTATAGTTTGCCATAATTGCCTTCTCACCTGTTTTGTATATAGGTCTTAATGAGGCAAATTTCATTCTATCAGGATATATTCCATGCTCAAAAAATGCATTAAATATGTGACACAATGGTTTACTTATCTCAGTTTACAATATTTCAATATCTTACTAGAAATGCCATTATATCCTGTAGAATCTTTTGATTTTTGCAACATAAGTATGCTCTTTATTTAACAATATCAAAGATGGAATAATATCAAATAATACATAAGTAAAGGAAGTAATGACCATGTTAAATCCAGTTCAAAAGGTTTGAATGTAGTGTCTTTAGAAGTACTCTTCTACCCTGAAGATGGAAGCAGCAGATTCCTCCAAAACACTGAACTATCTATCAGACTACATAGAATCACATTCTAGAAGAGAGTAATCTTTATAATAACTATTATGATAATCTTGACTCTCCAATCTATTAGTATTCTTGGTTGGTAGAAAGGATTTGTAAATTATAGTTGTATCTAAAGGAAAAACAAACACAATTACAATAAATAAAACTCAAAGAATCTCTGCTGAGTTTAGACAACATTAAAATTAGCTTCATTTTATTCAGTCATTGGTTTTATGGTTATCCATTCAGCACCGACCTACAGTTCTGACTTCTTTCCATGTGAATAAGTACCAAATAACAGCAAACAGCACTATCTGAATTCAATGTTCCTTCATTATAAGGGAAAAGGTCATTGTAGTCTTAATTATACTCATCTCATTTATATTTCCTTCTGGAGTGCTGGTTATATGTACAATATAACCTACACAATCTTGTTTACTTTAGTTGTAGAGGTGGGTTTAAAGAAGGCTCCTTGGAAATGTGGCAACAAATGGGTCTTTAGTAGCAGTTCAGGATGATGCCCAAGTCTGGTGCACTGGTAGAATGATAACTGGTGGGTGAAAACCACGGGGCTAAAGTTCTTCCCCCGTACCACTCTGCCCACCACAAAGTTCACAAGAACTACCACAGAACTGAACCAGCGCCTCTGCTGTGACAATGCAGGATCTAACCACCTGAGCCATGGCATGGCCCTGCCTCTCACCTTAACAGATTTTCTCATTACAGGCTTTCTGCAGATAAGGCCTAGTCTCCCCACTGCTGATAATGATGGGATAGCACAAAACACATCAAAGAAACATACACAGAAGTTCACTACATCTTTTTTTTTCTTTGGTGCTACAGCCCCAATTTGGGCCTTGGCCTATCTCCATGAAACCCTCCATTTCACTTTGATTTACTCAATCTTAGACAGTTGGTTAGGACTCCTTGGGCAGGTCATCAGCCCGTCGCAAGGCCTCTACCTGTACACAAACACTGAACATCCATGCCATGAAGGGATTCGAAGATCCCAGCTTCTGAGCGAGCAAAGACAGTGCATGCTTTAGACGGCTCGGCTACCATGACCAGCATTCCCTACATTAGTGTCAGAAATAAATGGTTTAAGGTAGCATACCAATTTGACACTGTTTCAGTCACTCACAATGTTCATATTAAACTTACTGACTCTGCGTTATACTTTTTGATTTGAATATTAAGCCATCTTCTATTTTGTAACAGTATCTAACACATACTGCATGCAGTAAGATATTAAAATAGTAAACACCATTTAGAGGCACTCTGTACATGTGATTGGGGCAGCATTATCTACAGTCTTAGTAGAATTAACACTAACTTATTTTAGGTAAAACAGAACAGATATTTCATTATAACCAAGACCCCAACCATTCCTTAAAAGACAAGTTTTCAAATCCTGGAATCATTTCAACTAAAATACATGTAATGAGATTAGTAGTGTGTTGCTTCGTGCAATGGTTGTCATTGGCTAATTTTATCCAATGTTAACGGGTATGAAAACGTTACTGCTACTGTCATCGCCACCGCCACCGCCAACTACTACTACTAACAACAACAACAACAACAACAACAACAACAACAACAGGTGATTCCTCCTCTTATGTAAGGTGTGAAATTTCCATTCTGTTCCATCCTTTATTTATGTATATGCCAACAGTGAATGGCCTATAATAGGCATTCACTGAAAGTATGCATAACAAAAGCTAGACTAAGGCTAGAACTAGAACTTCGCTAAAATTTAATACTAGGTAATAAAACAATACAGGTAACATCATAAAGACTTTACTCAGTAGAATTAAGCTAAGAAAAGTGTATCCTCAAGGGAGATGTGTTTGTTGATAACATCCAGAGATTTGCAGATGTTGTTTGTAGCTGTGACCCACCTTTTTGAATAAAATAATAATTATTATATTAGGTTAGTTCAGTAACATTTGCCATGAACACCTTTGGAAGCATGACCATCGTTACCTAGAAAATGTATTCTTCCTGTATTACAGTCTATCATTTATTATCTTTATATGCCAAAATGCCAGATCAATCACATAAAATTATCTTTTAGAAAACCTCATGAAACATTCATGTCATTTTTATATTTTAATAGTATTCAGTTACCTGTATTCTGGGGTCCAGATCTACATCACCACTCTCGTCTGGAGCACAGCGAGAATGCTCCATGACCTACTGTGCAGACGAACTCTTCCCAAACGTCTCTCAGTTTCACCCATAAGAAGAAACTGTCCTGCTCTGCTTATTTCCTTCGCATCTATCTCAAGTAATTCATACCTGTCACAAGCGTCACAAGGACTGCAATAAACCTACTCACAACGATGAGTCATTTTCGTTTAAGATTCTATCTGTGCAAGGTCAATGCGTTACCATCTTCGTTATCCTTCTTTCCTCCCACTCGTTGAACTATTTCCTAACGTAAAACATTTTTATTATTTAGATTACTTAGATACCTCGACGTTATAGACATCATAGGGCTCGAAACAGTCGATCTCGAGCGAGGATCTCGAGTACCCCCCCCCCGAATCCCTTCGGAAGTGTTGGGTGAAATGGACGCTGTGACGTCACGTGACATTACTCCTGCCATCTCTACGCAGACATGCACCAACTAAATGAGAAATGGACACAAACACCGACAGCATGATCAATAAAATAGAATGCTACGATACCATCCTGTGCGTCCTCCCCTCACCCCTCAATCCATCTTCATCCGACGGAACGGCCAGTTCACATGAATAGCAATAATTAATTTTGCAACCACATCTGCTGCAGAGGTTCTTACTCCGTTTTTTTTTCTGAACTGGTTTCAATATCAGTTCCCTCATATCCGTTTAAAAGGATATGAGTGAAGTGATACTGAACCCAGTTCAAAAAAAAGAAAAAAAAAAAAAACAACAGAGTAAGAACCTATGCAGCACAAGGGGTCAGGGGTGCAAAAGTTTCTCACCAGTGCCTGTAAAGTCATAACATTTCACTCATATCTATCCAACTTCTCCTTACCCAAATGCATTGGACATTGTAAACTATAACATACATAGAATACTTGTGTTTAGGAAAGCCGAAGGTGGGGTACTTGAAAGAAAATTCTGTTTCCTTCAGACATACTTCTATTTAACCTCACCTTTGGTAACAACTTACACTTGAAAGCCACACAGAACATAGTTTTTTCGTTACATTAAAGCATTATAAATCATATTTAGCAAGCAGTAATACTGACGTTTCCATTTATTATTAATTTCATTAGAATGATGTTCAGTACTGGACATGATTATATGGCAAAATTACAACATATCATACAGAATTACAATGAATACTGAAATCTGTATGGGAAAGGGTAACATACCTTACAGAATACTGGAAATCTAATATTCATCTTTAATTTCAGTAATGCGGAGGACATGGCAAATAAATATATCTTACAGAATACTGGAAACATGGTATTCATCTTCCACTTCAGTACTGGACAGGATTATTTGGCAAAATTAATAACATATCTTACAGAATACTGTTAATCTGATATTCATCTTCCATTGCAGTGCTGGACAGTATTATTTGACAAAATTAATAACATCTTACAGAATACTGGAAATATAGTATTCATGTTCCACTTCAGTAATGGACAGTAATGGCAGTTAATGTGTTATTACCATTTTCAACTACATATTTGTGTGAACTGGGCTTCTCGACGTTAACTGAAATTAAGACATCAAAGAGGGAGCGGCTCAAATCCATCCATGAAGAAATGAGACTTGCGTTGTCAACGATTCCACCACAGATCAGTCGCCTGCGTGCAGCTACGCAGGCGCAAGTATCACATTGAAGTTATGAGTAGAATTACTGTATTTACTATAATAGTAATAGAAGTGTATTTTCTACACTCTACAGTGAATTAAAGTTCATTAATTGTTAATAAAAGCACGAGTCAATTTCTGTTTAATGATAATGAAATAATATTATTATAGCAATAAGTTGTTCACGTTACATATTTATATCAATTATCTGATATCATGTTTTTTTGAGGGGAATAACATTTTGGTGTGCTGCAAGTAGAAAAAGGTTGCGGAACACTAGTCTAGAAAATGTGGGAGCCTCAACATTAACATTTATATTACTACATCTACATCACGAGCTTCCAATAACCGTTTTTATATACATACAAAATACAGAATACCCCAGTTTGTCCATGAGAACACAACAAAATCACAAAAACCAACGACTGACTCGATGATGTAAAGCATCAATTGAAGAATTTTATTCTTGTTTTATACCATAACTTTTGTTTTTTATATATCTACTTTATTGTATTTTTATGTCAAATATATTAATATTATTGTATCCAATTTTATTAATACTGCAGTTCAGTGGTGCATATATGTTAGCCATGTATCCCACTCAGGGCATGGATGTTTGTGTGTGTTTTTCTGCGTGTTTGTCTACAGGTAGAGGCCTTGCGACGAGCTGATCACTCGCCCAAGGAGTCCTACAGACTGTGTAAGATCTAGAAAAACCAAAGTGAACGGAGTTCATGGAGGTAGGCCTAGGCCCACTGGGGCTGTAGTGCCAAGGAAAAAAAAAATGTATTTGCCTTATGATGGCTATTAATAGCCGAAACATGTAGCAGAGCCAAAACTAGGCACTGACATTGATATAGTTGTGTTGTGGCGGTTTTAATAGAGAAGTTCTTTAATCTCACCCAAATAAAAAGGTACAAAAAACCTAAAATGTAAATATGCTTTTCTTGCAACATAGCTGAGTATCTGTAGTGGGAAGGAGAATAATGGATGTTCAGACAAGTGGGGGAAACATGAATACACATAAAAGTCTAAGATGACCTGACGGGTCCTGATTTCTCAGCCCAAATACAACATAAGACTTGCAGAAAGGGAAAGGTGCGTCATCAGAGGCTGATTCCCCTTATCCCTCCTTTCACAAAAGACCATACTTTTGCACAACATGGTTATCATACCCATGGTACAATTCAATTTGGTCTGTACTGGTTCACTGTGATCTCTATGTGAAGTTTATATCAAATTTTACAATATTTGTCATCAAGCATTAACATACAAAAAACGTGTACATGATAAATTGCAGACCTATGTGGGGGCTACAACTTTAGTCTGAACCTTTCTTCAGTATCGGGGGAGGGGAGCCTCTGTGCAACATAACATCTGTACTGTTCACTGACCTTGTTAACAACAAATTTGTATGTGCAATAAATTACTCTTAAATGGAGGAAATTTAACACTGATGACTGAATATGGATCATTAACAATAACATAAAAAAGTGAAAACCGTAAACTGAGGAAAAGCAAATGGGGGTTCCACCGCATGTAGTACTTCTCTCTCTGCTTCGAAGCAATCAGTACAACTTTACACATTTTACAGCACAGTTTTATATTAACAGACTACTCTAGTCAACAAAAATTTGGTAATATACAAAAACATAACTCCTAAAAATGAACTCTGATATGCTTACTCCAAATCTAGACTCTAAAATTTGGAATCATATCGCAGTTCTGTCTATTGAATTTTGAGCCAAAACAGAGTGAATTTTTCACTTTTGTTATTTTTCTTAGTGGTCTTATTAACAGTAATGTACGAACATGTTTAAAACATTATTCTGTATGGCATAATAAGTAGTATGTATGTTCATGTCTTGCATAGAATGGAAATAAGAAGATAATGAACTTTTCATGTTACAACAATTTTTATTTTTTCTCTCTGACTCGTATGTCCAATTTGGTCAAAGACAGCTTATTTTGTATATTATATATAAAAAAAAAATTTGTTGTGCATGTCACAATCACAATTAAGTAAAAGTTTGAGTCAATTAAGTGGAATGGTGACAGGAACACTCCCTTTGTAGCCTCTCCGAAAACCACTCTGTTTAACACGGCAACCATATCTGTTTTCTAGTCACAAATCAGACAAGTCCATAACAGAGTAGAATCTATGAGCTCAATATGCATTGGCTGTAGGGACTGAAACATCATATTTCCTTCTGGAGTTAAAATTCACATCACATTTTGACTAAGTTCTTTTCCTTCTTTGAGTCATAAGTTATGTGTACTGTGGGCAACAGAATATCCACTTTAAGGATATGCAAGTAAGTCACACTATGAAATATGCACAATATCACGTTCTTTTGCTAGATTCATCATCAGAGTCTTCTGCAATAACTTCATCATACCCTGGTAACATCTGCGAATTGAAAGTAGCTTGAAAGCAGCGTTTGAATATGTAACGTGCCCTTTTTGCTGGTGGTGGTGGCGGAGTTCCGGGCAATGCATCTTCCTCAGCACTGTTTTCTGCATCTTCTGCACTGCCATTTTCTTTAACACAGTCTTCCTGAATGCTGAATCTGGGTAAAAGTTTATTAACATTTTCAATTATATCTTGGTAATGGTGTTCTTGAAGGCCTGTATGACTCCTGGATGGTCCTGGAACTTAAGATAATTGATAAAATAACTATATGGAAATAAAGTATTCTTTAAGCCTTACAACAGAGGTATTACAGATAATTACTTCTAAAACTAGTCCAACTTATATTAAATAATTCTGCATTTTTACTTTGATATCAGGACACCTATATGACTTTACAGGAAGACTGTAAAATGTAGATTAAAATAATCTGTTCACAGTTGACTAAATATTTTAAAAGACACATGGGATTTAGGAGCAAAAGGACTTTCAGACTGTGTTGAGGGCAGCTGGAGAGACTGAAACCATGTAAGGAAATATCCAAGATTGGCTTCAGCTGGATGAAGGAGATCCTGGACTTCAGCTTCTGACAGAGGAAGAAATTGCTGCAATGATATCTTTTTATTTATCTTCATCAGCGCTAACTATATTATTAAATTTTCCATTTGTTTGTTTTCTAAGTTTTTTTGGGGGGAGCTATCTTCTGCTTCATTAATCCGGACTATTGCTTATTCCAGATGACCTCCAAATCAGTCAGGATTAGTAAGGGTTTACTGTACTGCATTCGAGGTTCTCAGGGGTAACTATGAAGAATATTATCTTCTGGGCTGTAACACCATGCAAACTGATAAAAATCAACCATTTTGGAGGAACATACAGCTTTCATTTTCATGGCTGAAGAGTAAGCCAAGGAAATGCCAGCATGAAGCAGGCAGCAAGCAGAAAAGACAGCGTTCAGAAAGATCAGGACCTACACAGGCTGGGAGTGAACTTGCGAGCTGACAAGTCAAGTCTCACTGTTTCTCCCTGAGAAACAGAGCAAACCAAGCTCTGTTTGCTGCCTACTTCATGCTGATTTCTTGGTTGGCTTCCTCTTTAACCCTGGAGATGGAAGTGATATGTACATCCAAAATGCAGGTTGACTTCACTGGTATTATAACCAAGAAGATATAACTCTTTCAAATTTGTTGCAATTTGTGATTAAAAAAAATTATTTATCCCATATTTCTACAAGGCAAAATTATGGTCCAAATGGTGAATTTTATGGTAATATTTATAATAACCATAAGGGTAAAATTCTGTAATCCAAGCATCCACAATGAGGGGGCAAAATATATTTGTGTCTTTCATCATTTAATACACAATTTACCTTACCATATTTTCTCTGGCAATTTTAAACATACAGACCCAATACAACTTAAGTGTGTAACATATAACTGAATGCTTAAACCTTCTATGCTACAATACATGGGGTGGGGAACCTGTCACATCATCCTGCAAAAAAGGTAAACCTATCCCTGTAACAGGGTGTGGAGGCCCACAGGGTTGTGAGACGTTAGTCTTAAATGTTGTCATAAGTGATGACAATAACACATGCATACAATATTTTCCATATAATATGCATTATAATAAAGACTGCATAGTACCTAAGAACCCAATTTGCTAATGTAAGATGGAAAGTGCATATAATAGAAGTAAGTTAGGATTAAGTCATCAGAAGTATCTTGAAAAATTCAGAAACAACATACCAGCCACAGATGAATCAATACTGCTCTTCCCTGCATGAACTGGGGATACTTTCCTCTTGCTTGGAGTATGGGCCATATCACACTTCTTGAAAGCAGTTCCCTTCATCACTCGACTAGTACACTGAGCATTTTCATCACTCTGTTGTGAAGTATTCAACTGGTTGTTCGACAGTGGCGTTAAGGTTGAAAAAACAAAATTGGACTCAAATATTGGAGCATTATTAACCACAAATACAACTGGCCTAGAACACAGACACAATTAGCTGGCAAATAATTATCATACAGCTTTCCCCTTACAATTATTTGATAAATGTTATAATACATTATTCAAATTTGCTACAAAATGGCTTAACAAATGAGAACTTTTGCTGAACTGTACTGAATGTAATGTCTTCTTGCCTGATACATTCAGATTTCATACTTTCTGCTATTCCTTGTATATGCTTGATGAATTTTTCATTAATGTTGTCTTTCATACATAATGATGGAATATCTACAAGGGTTGGAACTTTAATAGTGGCAACTATTTATTTACAACTGATACAAAATAGATGCATGTTTCGAAGTTTTACTGTCCTTCAATGTAGTCACCAGCATTGTGTACAACCCATTGCCAGCTATGTGGAAGTCATAGGATACCTTTAACAGTGCCTGTTGTGTTAATAGTTCAAATGGATCAGTCTCCTGCTTGAAGAATCTCTGGAACAGTTCTGAAGTGAATGCCACGAAGTGGTTCCTTCATCTTAAGAATCAAATCGAAGTCACAAGGGCTTAAGTCCTGGGAGTATGGTGGATGGTACAGTAATGCCCAGCCCCATCGATCGAACAAATCAGCCACAGCTTGCCATTTCTGCATTTCTGTCAAATCATGCGGAACCCATCATGATGCAGTTTTTCTCATGCCCAGGCGTTCCTTCAGAAAGTGAAGCACAGTCGTATGTGCTAATCCTGTCTCTCGGGCCAGTTCATGAATCATATGGCGTCGATCACTCTCCAGTAACGCAGAAAGAACATACACTTCTTCTTCACTGACACTAGGACAACCTGGCCAACACATGTCTGCCACATTTTGGCATCCCTTGTTGAAGGTTTTTATCCACCTTACCACTGTTCTGTAAGGCAATGCAGATTCCCCACAAGCCTCTTGAAGACCTTGATGACACTGTCGTGCTGTGCGGCCTCTGGCACATTCAATCTTTATCCAACTCCGTTGTTCCTGTTTCGAAAACATCGTGACAACAGTACAATTGACCGCCTGCTAACACGAGGCTCTGTTCTGCTCGTCACTGCGCACATGTGTGATGTGGGAAGAGAGAGTCCATTTGCTCTGAGGTAAAGTAGGTATGTAACTAACATGTGGTATAAGCGACATTATTTGGTTCCATTGCATGGCGTCCCTACAGCAGTGTTACCACTATTAAAGTTCCAACCCTTGTATTAACTGTTTTCCTGTTTCACAATAAAAATGATGGCAAATGCATTACATGATGAAGTATGGTCCATATTTATATAACTGTCTTCTAAAAAATGGTAGTACTTCCATTCCTACTTACTTGCCTCCTATTTCAAAATTGGCTCCAATAGGAAGATTAAAAGCCTCAGCAAACATTAACAATGCTCTGAACTCTCTTAAACTGAAAGTAATGGATGTGTCTACAGAAATGCTGTAATGGTCAAATTCCCCTGGTTCCAGACATAGTTCAGTCCGCACTGTCTTCTTCATTTCTGAAATAAACAAAGTGTTCAGTGAAATAGGAAAACTGTAGAATCTGACCAATTCACACTGTCCTCCACTTCCCTCCCGTCTGCAGAATATGGCCAATTCAGAACGTCTTCTACTTCCTTTACCTCTAGAATACCTCCTTCCTTAGAACTGTTATAAGCATATGTCCATGAAACTGTAGGTTTACCAACTCACACAAATGTGTTTGATTAACAAGCAGTTTACTGAAGAGGAAATGAAGTACCAATAAATTGGGTGAGCTTGTGCTGCATCATTTTTATCAGCTGTAATATTAACTAGAACAGAAACAAGTAAAATGACGGTCAAGTTGTAATAAAGGTGATGTAGCACAAACTAACTCATGCAGGCACAAAGTCACCCAATTTGCCAGTAATGTAAAATTCGAACAGAATCCACCATATGAAGTGATGAATCAATGAGAGTTAAAACTGTTACTGGACAAACACATAAATGTGGCATAACATGCAAATCATTACACTATGCACATAGTCCTTAATGCTGAAACATTCTGAAACAGATACTGTCTACTTCTGGAAACATTTAAACAAGCGAAGTTCGCGAACTCACTACTTTGTGCTTGCTGTGGCAGAAGTGACAGAAACCTCAGTATGGTTTGATGACATTGGCATATCAGCATTCCACAGTTGTGTTGTTGTTGATCTATGGCAGTCTCTTTCTGAGTGGCATCTATTATTGTCTGAGTGTGTTTTAGTGTTCTGTCCTGAGAATGTCAGAGCTTCAACTAGAGCAACGAGGGAGGGAGTTTTCAGCTATTAAGCCAATAACTGTGCTGGAACACCCTCCCTATTCACTAGATCTAGACCTCAATGACTTTTTTGTGTTCCTGAAGATAAAGGAAATATTGAAAGGAAGGTATTTTGATGGCATTGATAACATCAGGTGTAATATGATAGCAGCTCTGAAGGCCACTCCACAAAACCAGTTCCAAAATTATTTTGAAGGGTGACTAGGTGCTGGCATCAGTGCATAGCTACCCAAGGGAAGTATTCTGAAGGTGAACACATGATATTCAGCAAGGAGGTATGTAGCACTTTTTCTGTGATGATTTCATGAACTTTACTGTGACACCATGTATGTCACAGACTGCTGAGAAATGAGACACTAAGAGTTACATGGGGAGAAGAGAGATGCAGAAAAGATTAAATTAAGCAGATGTAACACAATCAAACTTCTGATATATTGCTCACATTATTTACTGAGATGTAACAAAATAATATAACAAAACTGAATGACAGCAGAATGAAATAAAGTAAATGAACATGTATCACAAACACCAGTGAATATCTATATTATATTTCTGGTCAAGTTGTGGTACTGTTACTATATTGTACCATCAGTACACAATAATCAATGCTGCACATAAACTTTACTCACCTCACATAAAATATAATTATCTATGGGTTTCAACCCTGCTCAGTGGCCATCAGGCCATATACAACATATGCATTACTAATACCACAAACATATCTCAGATATTTGATTTGCTTCATTCTGGTCCATCACACTAATATTATAAAAAAGCTAAATAGTTCCGTTCAGTGTGACTGGTTAAGATTTTCTTATTTCAATTATTCACGCCCTTACATGTTTTGGTCTTCAGAGACCATCTTCAGAGGGACACCTTTACATCGAAACAGTTAGAAGCCACTATTACAGTACATGTTCTAAAAGTTAAAATATATACATACAATATAAATAATATAAAATTGGCTGTAAAATCTAAAGAACCCTCTTCTCGAGAATGACACACATTCGGCCCCAGTCAAAAGAAATAATAAGAGGGACGACATGAACCAGCTTGTTTACGAATTCCAACAGAATTTTAACAAACTATAAATATTTTAAAGTATTGGAACAGCCGCTGTAGCTGTAAAAAGATTTAGATTTTACAGTCAATTGTATATTATTTATATTGTATGTATATATGTTAATTTTTAGAACATGTACTGTAATAGTGGCTTCTAACTGTATCGATGTAAAGGTGTCCCTCTGAAGACCAAAACATGCAAGGGTGTGAATAATTGAAATAAGAAAATCTTAACCAGTCACACTGAACAGAACTATTTAGCTTTTTCATATCTCAGATATCTATACAGATATGACAGAAGTACATAAATAATCCAGTTTCAAGATTAAAGGTCAATTTAAATTAAATTATTAAAATTAAAAATCTAAATCATATTAGGTGTCTGTTAGATATATTTTATAGTTTAATTTGCAATTATATTCATATTGTTATGTGTTAGTAACTTTATACAAGGTTTGGATTGATAACTGGATTTATTGGACACTTGCCCCAGAAACGTGTTTACCATACGGCTGCAGAGCAACAGCTACCTCTTTTTTGTTCCACTCTTCTGGCTTTCAGCCATCATGTCACAATGTTAAAATGGGTTAAAATATATTGGTTTAAAATCATATGATTTCACTGTATTCTGACGTGTTCTAGTATATTTCATGAAATTATGTATAAGCTGTGTGTATCAAGAGATAAGCACTAGTAATATCTGGTACAACCACATTTTACATGTATATTGTATGCATACCACATTAAACTTTGATTTTTTGTTGTCAATACTGTTATATTGTAAAAACACTGGTTGTGATGTCGCTTTGATACAATAATTATCAGTGCTGTCACTATGTCCTTTGTTGACAATCTACATTCTAGCTCGTACTTATTGTGCACACATAGATATGTCGGTGACGAAAACTGGTGTCAGCTAATTGCTGTTGATGGACTTTGATCAGTTAATCAGATTTGCAATAAAATTATACCCTTCCTACATCCTGCATGAACACTAAGTATGTATATCCATGGATGCAGCATATGTTTTTACAGCACATTTAGGCTGGCTGTTTATCCAACATGTTTCAACATCTACACTATCACCTTCAGGGGTATCTGTTTTTATTCTACAAACTAAATATTTTCTCAAGGTTACTGTCTTTTGAACATTTTAGATGCTTACAAATTTTTCGTGGAGAACCATCTTAGAGATAAGTACAGGATGTCCAGATGAAGGGCATCCAAAATACAAAATTTATATATCGGAAACTAATTGTCATACATGTATCCGGTTGATGTGCTCAGAAAGGAAAACTGAGAGTATTTTTTCAGGCCCAGCTTACATGAATGCACCAGCTGGTGACTTTCAGTGAGCTCAGTAACGATGTCAACACCACAGGAACAGGTTCAATGCGTGTTGTGGCTAGCAGAGTGGCAATCTCTTACAGCTATCCAGCATAATTTTAGAATGCAATATGGACATCAACCTCCTACTCAGAAAAGCATTCAATTCTGGGACAACAAACTAAGGACTATAGGCAGTCTCTTGCATGTAAAATCTCCTCTGAAGAAAATGTCAACCACATTAGACAGGCATTCCAGCAAAGTCTGAGCAAATCAATTCATGCTGCTAGCTTGCAGTTATGTACAAATTTCACGTTCAACAGTGCACGATGTGCTACACAAAAGGCTCAGCCTAAGAGCATACAAGGTTCAAATGATTCATGCTCTAAAACAGAGTGACCAAGTAGCACACACAAAATTCGCTGTGGACAAGCTAGAAAGAACTGACATATCACCCGATTTCCTCTGCCAAGTGTGCTTCTCTGATGAAGTGATGTTCCATGTCAGTGGAGTTGTAAACAGTTTCAACTGCAAGATTTTGGGCAGTCAAAATCCACATGTCACATGTGAGATGGAAACAGGCAGTCCCAAAGTGAATGTGTGGGCCAGCTTAATGTACAAGTTCATTGTACTGTTTTTATTTTTGGAAAAGACTGTGACTAGACATTTGTACTTGGACATGCTTGAGCTGTATGCACTGCCCAAATTACCACCTCAAACTATCCTCCAACAAGATGGCGTTCTGCCTCAGAAGAGCCACACTGATCTTCTCGTCAGAGAGGATGTTACATAAGGACTATTACTGCAAGAGTTCAGTTGGAAAACAACTCTCTGGTCATGGGCCTCAAGGATCCTGGTACCAAGATAAACTGATTGGCAGTAAACCGCAAGTTGTAAAGTAACTCTGACTTTGACTAAGGCAGTGACAGAGTTCAGTTGAGGGCAGTTACAAACAATAGTAGTGGCAGAAGCACACGAACAGTGTGAATTGGGACTAGGAGTTCAGAAAAGTACAAGAGGTCAGCCCGTAAGGATTTAATGTGTGATTTGAACTTTATGTGTGCTATAGTGAGGCCTTTATAGTTGTTGTAACTCCATGAAGACTAGTGGGGTAGACTGAACAGATGAGGGTGGACTGATCATAAATTGTGTAAATCAGCAAGAGTGTAACAATTATTTGTAGTTACAACCTGTAGGCTAATAAATCCAATACCAATCCAAACCTGCATCTTAGTCACCCAAACACATAACAATATAAATTCATATTGGTGGAAGTGTTCACACACACACAAAATATGGCATCAATAATCTGAAACATGTTTATCCTTGTAGCTGTCCACATACAGACACCTGCTCTGATTGAAAGAGGTTTTAATAATCCAGTCAGCTAGACAGGACTCTATATGTACATGTAGTGTGAATCAGTGCGCAGCTGAAACCCTTAATTGAAAAATTCTACCTGAATATTATACTTTGCCATCCTTTAGTAATGAGGGCTGTATTGCAGTAACATACCATTTTCATCTTCAGCATAATTCCGAAGCTGCATTTTTTGAGGTGTGACAACCAATGTAAGTTCCATTGTGTTTGCTTGGAAATTCATAAGAGCAAATGTTAATAATTTTGGTTGTACCACCAACTGATTTGGTACCATATCTTTGCTGTACACTGCTTCCAAAGTTTCACACTCAATGATAGGCAGGTAATGTGTCTTGATAATTCCATGATGACAATGAAATTCAAAGATCAACTTAACACCATCTGGCTCCAGTCGGATTTGGCAGGATTCTACTTGTTTGTATAAATGGCTTGGGGAACGGAAAACAGCCATACATGACTGAAAAATATGAGAACAAAAATTAAATGTAATAAAAATAAATACAGAGAAAAACATAATACTGCCCACTTTCTTGATATGTCATATATATATATACAGGGTGTCCCAGGAGGAATGTGCCAAACTTCGGGAGGGTGTTCCTTATGTTAAAGTATGCCGATATAACCCAAAACACCTATGTCCAAAGTTGAACGGTTACGGAGATAATGGCCAGAGAAGTGTCAAACTTTGACCGGGGTTACACACTTGTTGATTACAAAATAGATATTAAAACTGGCAGGAATATGTGGATTCTGTAACGTTAATAATGTACGTAACATCAAACTAACTTGTGAGTGACATGAAGCCATAAAATTGAAGTACAAAAAACTCGCATGCCATCTCAAAGTTGTCGTTAAGAGTTCCAAGCACTGTACATGACACATGAATGGTAAGCGATGACGTAACGTGCTGACTGCGCGTTCTGATAAAGCCAACTCCATAAGCACGGATAGGATGAATCACGGCAGTCAAGGACAAACAGAGATAATTCCTCTCAGCTGATAGGTATAATCCGTGGACCCGCTAGAAGACCACACTTTTCTCGGGCCATTATCTCCGTAACCGTTCAACTTTGGACATAGGTGTTTTGGGTTATATCGGCATACTTTAACATAAGGAACACCCTCCCGAAGTTTGGCACATTCCTCCTGGGACACCCTGTATATATACACACACAAAAATTTTAATCTTTGTTTCTGGAAGTTAAAATCTAGAGTACTGATACATAACCTTTTTCTTTCAAATGGCCACACTAACAATCTCCTCAGTGACTACAGGTCACACGATGAAGGCTTCAAAGAATAATAAAATTTTTATTTGAATTACTAGTAGGAACACAGGAATTACTTTTGTAAAGAAAGTCAAACTTATGATTTACAAACATTTCTTTTACATAATGTCATATTCAAAAAACTAAAAATAAATGCAAATAGAATGTGTATACAGTAATTAGAACATAACAGCTTAGTAATGTGAGTGCTCAACCTGAACTGAAGATACCTAGCTCATAAGATTGATGTGGTACTTTCATCTGTCAGCCAGTTCCATTATGTTGATTCATCAGTGAGAAATCTTCTTCACAAGTGGTAATGCATCTGAACAAACTTGCACAAATAGTTGCCTTCTGCCAATGATTTGGATCTTCAGAAAGACATTTATAAAAATTAAGCAAACTGCTTTCAATTTAGATCTAAGTTCACCACTGCAGTATACAGTGATTGGTTTGAGTTGTAAAGCAGTATCTGCATCTTCATATGATACTTCAAGAGGGTCAGTAAGTGTTGTGAACAATGACCTGACATTATCAGAGTCAACTAGTCTGTCTGTAAATGGCTGCTGCAGCTGTTCACTGTGTCTGACATACCAAACACTATTCACTCCCTTGTATAGTATTTCATTGTCTGGCAGTTTGGAAAGTGACAAATGCAAAAGCAGAGAATGAAATGACATTTGAAAGGCCAATATATTGTTGTACCTTCACTTACAAACTTAACAGCTTAGCAACTTAACTTGCATCATTAAAGCGACTGACTGGCTGTCATTTTTCAACAAGAAAAACTTTGATCTCTTCTAATAGTGATAGAAAACACTATGCCAGTGAACTTCAGAGCAGTACACAATGTCACCATATTCAGTACTGATATAGTAAAGAAATGCTTTTAATGGTCAGTGGTTTAGCCTACACTGCACTGACAACATCAGTCAGTGCTTGCCCATTAGGTTTAGTTGACAGATAATGAAATGGATACTATATTCATTTATTCTGAGGACCTCACCCATGCATATACAGGATGAATCGTATAGAACCGGCCCGATGAATTTGCTAATAATTCCACAGGTGATGCATATAACTGCTCACAATTACGACATTACATAATAATCCGTGGGCCATACTGAGTCAAATGGTGTGCGCATGACCCGGAAAGTGGCAGCCCTTATGCTGCAAGGTCAAGGACAATGCCGAAACGTGTCTGCAGTGGGCAGGCGACAGTCATGGAGTACACTGTTGAAAAGTGAGTGTTTCTAATGCCTACTTGAAAACGGCGGACACTTTCAACACCTGCTCTGATCACAGCACACAATCCAAGATAAGATATGTGTAAATTACTTTAATATCTGTATGGTATATTTTATATTACACCTCATTTCGTTGGGCCGGTTCTATATGAATCACCCTGTATTTGTGAAGAGAAATCATGCAACTTCTAGAGTCAATCACAGAAGGCATGCCATAAATAACTGTGCTCATAAGCTTATGTACTTTCAAATTATGCTTTTAAAGACTATAAAACAATGATTGAATGATATCTTTGGTCTTTAACTGGCTTTAAATTGAATGGTTACTTACAAGTTCTTCAAACATTTTAAAATCAGATGTTATGCCACTTGAAAATATACCTGATGTCTGTTGACTCATAAACCGTCACCGAATAATAAATACATTTGCTGAATATCTCAGAAAAATGAGTTACATTTTGAAATAACAGCTATTTGCCTTTGTGCTGCCATTCACTTCAAATAGACAGCTTCACACTGTTTTGCACAATTTGTGCAATGGACCTTTTATAAAGCAATAAACAAATAACGTTTTTACAAAGTCACCTCAGTAAAAGGCCTTGATTTTTTTCTCAATCAAATGGGATATGTCAAAACTCCCTTCAACAGCTTGTTCCCAAGAACCAGAACTTACACGGTAATGAACCTTCAGGTTCCATAATGGTGGGAAGTTCTTAATTGCCTGCACAATTTGCAGCTTCTCAAGAAGGGCTCAGTTCCATGAGTGATGATGATGATTCTATCATACTTTCAGTGCCACTTCCTGTTCTCTGAATTTTCCAGAACACGTTGGCTCAACTCTGTATCTTTAGTTTCAAAATGTAGTCTCAATGTGCACTCTTTTGCTTATGCTCTGTTTACATATCATGTATATGGTGCTACCTTTATTCTCAACATGATTATACTTTTATGTACATGCTCTTGCGATACTCTGTTTTCTTCTTTTAGCTCTGTTTGTTTTACTTTTTTCAGCCTTGCAGCTTATTTACGACATGAGTCTCACAGAAAACAAACAACTTTGTAATAATTACTGTATCACAGCTCAGCATTGTTGTGTGCTTTGCTTGAATGGTCTCAGCAACGACATTCACAATAAGAAAAATCATATTCACAAGATCACAGCACTCAGTCGCAACATACTGAGCAAACTCACAGCTTGATTCAAAACTTCAAACTTAGAGCTAGCTGCAGCCACTGAAAGGTTCATTTAGCTGGCAACAAATATAGAAACACCTAGATACACAACACTATAACTGCAGGTGATGGCTTATCTTATTTTATGCACTGACAGCTGACCTTTCAAAAACTCAAGAATCATAATTTATATGTTGAAAAAATTCAATAAAGCAATTTTTACCTACTATGGACCTGAAGCAGCAGTTCTTGAGTAACAGGGGTAGGTAAAACATGAGCTGAATGTACTTCAAAGAAAAACAATCCCACTGAGATCCACCTAAGAACGCTTCAACAGAGATGTTCTAAACATGTACATACTTTTATACAGTGCTGACAAGTGAACTGAGTAACAGTGAAACTGTGCATTTAACCACATCTACTTTCTCATCATTTTCCATTTCTTTCCATCAGGATACATAAAGAACACTGAAAGGTCTAGTCTATCTTTGTGTGTCATTAACTCTCTTCTCTGTAACTTCTGAACAAAGCACGTAATTTTAATTTGCCAGCTGTACATAAATTAATCTTAAAAGTTACTTTGTTCAGCGATGGTACATGCATTAAAATGAGGTGAATGACAGAGAAAAAGATATTAGATCAAGAATGTATCAATATGAGCACTTACATACCTTCATTGACACTTTACATGTAATATCCTCTTCTTGGCTTTTTGTTTGCTCATAATTATAATATGAGAAAAAGCTCTCAGAAAATGTGAATGATGCATATGCCGACTTCGAGGTACTGACAGCTCTAAATGAAAGTCTTGCTGGTTCTGGTTCTACATAAAGTTCATCTCCAATACGACAAAGGGCATGGATTGCACGTGCTAGAACTGTCAATAACCTAATAAATGTACTGCATTTCAAAACAATTTATCGGACGTTTCGTAATTATTGCCACACAAAAATTAACCTACACATACTTCTAAAATATGCAAAATGTTCATGGGTACAGACATTAACGGTGCTCCTTCTACAGAGTTTCACCACCTGCTGATACTCGGTCGTGTTTGATAGATAACCCACATTATACATTTATTTTACGTTCACTAAGAAATTCACCTTTACCTTTTACATTCAACCCAGGAACTACGCACTTCATTGCTTGAAATGGAAAATATAATCTCAAAAACAATGATATTTATTAACATTTTCTTACTTCTTCTACACACAACCGCTAAACATTTCTGATGTTCCTTCGTAGTAAACACCGGTAAACCCCTCCATGCTTTGTTGGTATCACAGATTATTAAATGACTTTGGCCGATCCGTTGTTGGTAGACCTGTACGACCAGCTTACCATTATTAACAATAGATGTCGCTTTATGGAGCTGTTTAGGAAGTGTCAGATCTTGTCAGATCAAGTCGTAAGGTGTTAGGTAGTGGGCGGAGAAGTTTATGTAAATACAATTACATTTAATATTAGTACAGTGGTACACGAACGTGAGAAAGCAGTTGTTTTTTGTTTTTCAGTGGTTTAGTAAATAGTTTCCTTAAAGTCTGCCGGCACTAGTAATTTCAGCCGCAGAGATATAAACGTAGACCAATTACACCACAATGGTACATGAAATACACATCAGTATCTAAATTTGTGTCACCAATTCATAAACAGAGTTTCGCAGTTCAAGAAATTAATAATTAATTTGTTTCAGTTGGTATTGGTGCTTGGTGATTTACATATTCCTCATAGATGTAGCAGTTTACCAGCAAAATTCAAGAAACTCTTGGTACCAGGAAGAATCCAACACATATTATGTACAGGAAATCTGTGTACCAAAGAATCATATGACTATCTGAAAACGCTTGCCAGTGATGTTCATGTTGTTCGCGGAGATTTTGATGAGGTAATGTATAATTATTTAACAAGTCATTGGAGCTTGTTGGATTTTAATGTTGTGGTCTTATAAACACCATCATCAACAAGGATTAGTCTTACAAGACAGTTTGGCTTGCTAGGTTCAAATCAGAATTGGTTCTTCCATCTCTGTATGCTCTACTATTTTGCTTCTGCCTTTCAGTGTAAACTGATAAAATCTTGTAGTAAATCTGTATTAGCCCAGTCTTTCAAGGTGGTTGAACCAATTTGTTTGATATTGAGCTGTTTTGTTTTGGCTTCTAATGTAGCTAGTGCTCATGTTACTTGGAGCAGCACTTACGATCCTCACTTCAGTAGCTGTTGCAGTTTGGTTCTCTTTAGTTAGTGTCCAACACCCTGATCCATGTAGTAATCTGGATACAGCCACAACTTCATAAAATTTGAAGAGAGTTTTATAAAAATTTTATATCAAATATGTGCTTTGAAATAATATGTTGGGTATGGTGAAAGACATCAGGTGTTGCAGGAGCAGCCTCATATTTTCCCATCAAAGAGTAGTCTGAAGTTGCACAGTGAAGTTATCCTCTACCCTCATGATATACTTACAACACTTCTGATGTTTCTAGCAAAAATTACATTCCTGTTAAAACTCTGTTATCATTTCTTTCAGAATTTGAATTATCCAGAGCAAAAAGTGGTGACTGTTGGTCAGTTTCGAATTGGTTTATGCCATGGTCATCAGGTCGTGCCATGGGGAGAACCAGATTCTCTTGCTCTTATTCAGCGGCAATTAGATGTTGATATTCTTATCTCAGGTCACACACACAAGTTTGAAGCATATGAACAGGAGAATAAATTCTACATTAATCCAGGATCAGCTACTGGAGCGTACAATCCTCTTGATACGTATGTTGCGAATGATATTCTATTATATTATTTTTTAGTATCTGTGTAGGATTTGAGGGTCCCACAGGTTTGATGCTGAGCAGTTCTTTCTTCTGTGATATAATGCCATGTAGTCCATTGAAAGTCAGCTGATGTTTTGGAGAAAAATGTTTCCTGCATCATTAGGTCAAATAAGAAGCCAGTATGAAGCAGATAGCAAGCATGAATGCTGGTTCACTTTCAATGGGCTATGCGCAATTTATCCTACAAGACAGAATTCCTTTTCATATCTAGGTTGAGAATTAATTCATTAATACACATTCATGGGAAAGTACTTACAATTAAAAAATACGGTATTAGCACCATCTGAAAGCAAACACGCTTTTTTTTTTAAACAGTACTTGTTGAAAATATCTTAACACTTCTACTGCCATGGACATATGTTGGAGTTTTACCTCCTGGACCAGCCATTTTTCTATGAAAACTGTATTTTTAACTTACATTTGGATTGGAAGAGAACCAATGAAAAACAAGATCTAAAAGTTTGTGACGATGGTACGTTAGTACAAATATTATGTTTTTCGACATTATCCATCGTCTTGTCTTCATCTAAACACCGTCATGTTTGTTTTTCAAAACACGTTTCCGAGACTTTATTGTGTCTCTGTCTTCAGGTAAATCCTACGCAGTTGGGCCCAATCGATAGAGCTAGTACCTAGACAGGGACAGAATCCAGTCTCTGAAACATTGTGTTTTGAAAAATAAATAGGATGGTTTTTAAATGAAGACAAGATGATGGATAATGTCCAAGAACATAATACTTGTACAGTAAAAAACAATTAAAATAGCATATTTTGACTCTTTTGAACTCTGGTAAGACATCTGTGAGTTCCCTATATTTGAGTGACATCTATAGGAGAACATTAGATTTATATATACAGTAGGAATAACCTCTCAGACGACAGGATTGGCAGTGAAAGTGTTAAGTAAATAGGTTGTGAGGATCTAGAATAGATTTTTTTGGCTGAGAATGGTATTGAGTGGCAGGCTGTTGTGAACACATTAATGAACTTTTGGGGTTGCATAAATGACAGGAATTTTACTGACTAGCTGACCAAGAAGAGGTGTTCTTCAGAGGGTTAGGTACACATAAATATACCAGAATCTGTTAGTAAGATTTCTAAAAATGCATTTTTCTTTTCCAGGTCAATAATACCATCATTTGTACTGATGGACATTCAGAGTTCTACTGTTGTGACATATGTATATCAGCTGGTTGGTGATGAAGTTAAAGTTGAAAGAATTGAATATAAAAAGAGTTAAACCTACAAGTTGAGACTTTTAAGACCAATGAATAAAATGTTAAATTTGGTTACAAACCAATGTTTGTCAGTCACTGTATTATAAATTAAGTTTACTGACTTCTGCGATTTTACACCATGTAGTTTTATAGATAGATACCAACATTTTGGAGGAACCTGTTGCCTCCATCTTCAGGATAGAATAGCCAGCTAGCAGGTTCCACCTGAATGATGATACATTTCTACCAAGCTACATGATGTCACATCCCACAAGCCCAGTATTAATACTTACCACTTGAGAACATCAAATATGAATGTATTTATAATTCTAATTCATGTACATGAAGTAATAAAATTCCATTATACACAAAGTGTGCTCAATTTTCAGCATTTATGGACAAATTTCATTGTAAATATTTGTAAATATAGCCCTTATAAACGTTTCTATAGGCGAAAGTAATAAAAATTAACCATACCTACTTCATACACATGTAGTTCATTATCATAGTTTTTGTGAGAAATCCTTTAGATCTGATTTTCAGTGATTTTATACCTGAGGTAATTCATCAGAATTCAGTTCAGAAAACTTTACAAATACATTTAAAATTCTGTCATTTACCACATTGGGAATTTCTGGCCCATGTGTGCTTGGAGAAACATTAAATTTTAACACTATTATATGTAGGGTCCTGAAATTTTAGAGCATCAGGGTTCTGAAAGGAATATATGGATCTAAGAAAGCGGATCTTCATACTTCTCACTCTTCACCAAACACTGTTAGGGTGAATCAGTCAAGGAGGATGAGATGGGCAAGGAATGTGGCATGCACAGATGAGATGAGAAATGCATACAAAATTCTGGTCAGAACAGGTGAAAGAAGTAATGCTGTAGGAGACTTAAGCAAGGATATGGGCTGGATTCATAAGATTCAAGATGGGTCCAGTGGTAGTTCTTGCAGGCACAGTAATGAACTTTTTGAATCATAAAAGGCAAGTGATTTATGGTGCAGCTAAAGGCCTATCAATTAATAGGTGTTAAAGAAATATTCAACTTTCATCAGTGTAATTTGTTGTACAGTGTAAAACAAAGTTACACTCATAAAAATTGACATTTTTCTTATATGTTCAATATCTTCAGGAAGAATTATGATGCCTGGTTTTAGACTATAAAATGTGTCTGCCCGAACTTCTAAATTAATGATTTTATAATTCAGTGCCCTACACTTCAGCTATTGTAGACAAAGAAATGGGACATACACAGCCATGTTCGTAATTGTCCATATTTCCTTCAAATTCTTTTCATGACCTGTCATGTACCTAGGCACTGTGGTTGATCATACTTAGCAAACTAAGAAAGAAACATCTCTCTTGGTCACAGCTTCTTACTTTCAATTCTACATTGATGAAAGTAATGTTACTCACACCTTGGAAGATACACTCGTATTCTTGATAGACAGAGAGATGGATAGATGCATCACATGGATCCTAGAGAGAAGAATGAGGTCAGAGTACAATATAGCGCATTCAGAAACACAGTCACATATTAACAATGGCATGACAATTTTTGCAGTATGTCTGCAGATAGCTAGGTCCATATAAAATTACATACTGCAGTAAGACAGTCAATATAGATAGAAACAGATCTACAAAAATTACAGATACATGATTATAGTCAGTCAGACAGTTCTTAGTAATATAAATTCATCCACAGAAGATAAAGTTCAAGTGAAAAGGAATTTCTTCAGTAACATTTTGTTTGCTGTTGGGAGAAAACCATTAAAATGTTGGTGGGAGGTGGGTCCTGTAGTTTTATCCCAGTGTAATAAACATCAATATTATATTTAAGCATCCTGTTGCACTCTATACGATAAATTATATAAACTCTGTCCCAAGTGCAAACAATATATTATATGTTCTTGATCTTGCTCTCCTTTACATTACATGTTTCGGCCTCAAACGGCCATCATCAGGTGTATACACTCACGTTGCTGATACACTGCACTTAGTTTAAAATTTAACATTTAAAAACACATTGTTCCTTTTCTTTGTTATTATCAACATCTACTTCGTTGATATCTGTCTGGTTTATAGATTATTTTTGTTACACACGTTAGCACTTATAAAATCTTTAGTTCTAATTTTAAAATCCTTTACAATTTTTCTCTAAATTTAAAATTTTAAATTGTCAGGGTTACTCGCCCTATATCTATAGTGCTGCAGTGGCTAGTTCTTGTTTCCAGCACTGTACAGGTGTTATTTTGTGTAGTCTCCCTGTGTGCGTGCCGCTGCTATTCTTTACTACGTAGTCTTCTGAAATGTTCTCTAACTATGAAGAATGCCATCTTCTGGGATATGGCACCGTGTAGATCTTGTGTGAACCGACGATTTGGAGGAACATATCGCCTCCATCTTCAGGGTAGAAAAATCTGTGAGTGAGGAAACAGCGTGGGCATGTGGCTGCGACATCCCAGAAGATGGCATTTTTCATAGTCACTGCCATGAAAACCTCAAATCTTACACGTTCTCTAACTAATTTTATGGAGGCTGAGCCCTTCTTGAGAATTCATCAGCTGTGCAACTACTCCAGAACTTTCCAACATTTTATGGAACCATAAGGTTCATTTTCATCATGTTCACAAGAGCCCTCAACTGGTCCCTGTCCTGAGCCAGATCAATTCAGTCCATACCACTCAATCCTATATCTCTAAGATCCATTTTAATAATACCCCTCCATCATCTCAGTCTTACAACCGTCTCTTTCCTTCTCCCTTTCCCACCAATATCCTATATGCATTCCTCTCCTCCCCAAATCTCGCTACATTCCTTGGCCATCTCATCCTCCTTCACTTCATCATTCTAATTATACTTGGCGAAAAGTACAAGTTATGAAACTGCTCATCATGCAGTTTTCTCCAATCTCCTGTCTCTTCATCTCTCTTAGGTCCAAACATTCTCCTCAGCATCGTGTTCGAAAACACCCTCAATCTATGCTCCACCCTTAATGACAGATATCAAGTTTCACACCCATACAGAACCACAGGCAAAATTATTGTTTTGTATATTCTAATTTTTAAGTTTTTAGCCAGCAGACGAGAAGACAAAAGGTTCTAGACTGAATGGTAGGAAGCATTACCCGATTTCAATCTCCTCTTAATTTCCTCATGAATAAAATTTGTATTTGTTACTGTCATTCCAAAATATTTGAAATATGACAATTTTGCAAAGGATCCATTAGCTCTTGAGGTTCAAATTGTTATTCCCAAATTTAAAGGTATGAGTCGCCAAATATCAATCAAGTTTTGGTAGAACTAATTCAAGCAGGAGGTCGCAGTACACTTGTGACGTTATTGTGGTCCACTGTTGCATGAATTCCACTATCAGCACTCCATTCCTGTCCCAGGAAACAGCTGCCATTTTAGTTTCTTTGGATGGGGTGAGACTGAGTTCACTTGGTACGTCGGCCACTAACTGGCCTATTTATACGAGCCCCAGATGACAGATGAGTGCGGAGCACTCAATGGAATGATAACTGGCAAGGGAAACGAAAGTACTCGGAGAAAACCTTCCCCAGTGTCACTTTGTCCGCCACAAATCCGACATGACCTGACTTGAGCTCGAACCTGGGCCGCCGCGGTGGGAAGCCGGCGACTAACCGCCTGAGCTATGGCACGGCCAAAGCCTAGCCTAACTACGATAATCTCATAGAGAAAAACGCGTGAAATACAAAAATTCACACAAAAATTCCAAATTGTAAAGCGCCGTCTTTCACAAGCTTTTTTGATCAACACTTTGTACAAGATCTTCACTCACTACAGATGACCGAACACTTCGCTCTTCACCGTGAACGTTTGCTTGCACATCTCCGAAAATTGTGCATCACTGTCTTGCAGTTCCTTCACTCATTACATTTTGGCCGTAAACCTCCGCGCATAATTCGCGATATATTTAAACAACATTCATGTTTCTAGCGCGAAGAAAGCGGATAACAGCGTGAATTTCGCAGCTGGCGGGATTATGAATCGCAGGACACATCATAACTCATTCTGTACAGACAAGAACAAACACTATGTGACCAGTTATGTGATGGGTTTAGAAGACAATGATTCATGTGACGCTACCTCGCATGCGCGATCTCTCCCTCGCTCCTAAATTAGTTTCCTAAAATAAACAGAAGTTACTTTCCGAATAGCCCTCATACGAGTACATCCCATCTCGTGTTGGTGTTGGTGTCGGGAGATAGGGACTAGCTCTACTGCTCTGGCCCAACTGAGTAGGTTTCTACATGAAGAAGGAGACATAATCTAGTCTCCGAAACGTTGTTTTAAATAAAAGCAGGACGATGGATAATATCTGAAAACATAATAATTGTATACAAAACTAAATTTTTTCTGTAGTTTTGTGTGTCGTGAAACTTAGTCACCGACATTAAGGGACGAACACAGATTGAAAGTGTCTGAGAACAGGGAGGTAGGGAGTGTATCTGAACCCAAGAAGGGTTAAATAATAGGTGTATGAAGAAAATTACATAATAAGGAGCTTCATATCTCGTACTCTCCGCCAAATGTAATTAGAATGACCAAGCCACTAAGGATGACTGGGCATGGAGAGAAGAGAAATGCATACAGGATTTTGGCTGGGCAGCAAGAAGGAAGAGACCGCTGGAAAGACCTCTACGTAGGTGAGAGGATAATATTAAAATAGATCTTAGAGAAATAGGATGGGGTGGTATAGGCTGGAATCATCTGGTTCAAGATGTGGACCGGTGGCTTGCTCTTACGAACACAGTAATGAAGCGATGGATTCCACGAAATTCTTGAATTGCTGATCCACTGTTGGCTTCTCAAGGAGGGCTCGGGTCCATGGAGTTAGGTAATTAGTTAGTGTAGAAACTCAGATTTTCTCGACACGAAATGTATGCAAGTTTACTGTGAGGTTACTATACACTAGTGTACACTTTGTGACTGCGTTATACCGCTTCTTTTTTAAAAACATGTTCGCCTCTACTCCCACGCTCGAGTTTGGACTTAAGATCGACACATGCAATGTACTGGCGATTTTTGACAAGTTTGTCGGTATGCATACAAGCTGAAACAAGACAGACACAGCAGACAAGCTTCAAACCAAAACCTTATAGTTGTGGCCACGAAGGACGCGTTTCCGCGTTCTTTGATTTTATAGCAGGAAAAAGTGAAGTGAAGTGAAAGTTGTCCCAACGCATCCCTTCCAACAAATTTTGGAATATGGCATTAAGCAAATATCCACATCCGCATTAATTTCTATGTTTAAATGAACATAAGTGGAATATGGTTCAGTCGCATTCAGACCTACAAATGAATTGCTTTTATAAGAATCTGCCAAACCCAGTGGCTGAGGAGTCTACAGCACATAGCACACTGGGATTTAGATTTCGAAACCTATTTGGTGTATGGATGTGTGTTATTCTGCAAAGTTAAAGGCTGGGACTTCTTTACGGAACCCTACAGCTCGTATGTTACTAAAATATAGAAAACCTGTACACTTTCGGAAGTGCTAGCATTTCGCTTCAGTGTAGCCACTACGGCCACTGCACTGGATACCTGGCACGTCTGAAAGTGGTAAGGGAAACGAATGTCTGTACCTCTACAAAATCACAGAGACATCAAGATACATAAAGGAATGGAAGTATACACTCATTCTTCATACCGTCACTAGGTTAATGTGATTTATCAGCTTCAATTTCCTACTGCTGGCCCAGTTGGTATAGCGACGAGTTACGGGATGGACGGCCGGGGTTCGACTCCCGGCAGAGGCAAGATTTTTTCTCTATTCCATAGAGTCCAGACTGGCTTTGGGGCCTGGCGAGCCTCCTATCCAAGGGGTGTTAGAAATCTTCCCTGGGAGAAAAAAACATCGGGAGTGTGAGCTTGAACACTCACCTCTGCTCCCTCATATGTCTTCATGGCGTGGTGCTTAATTAATTAACAATATGGACACCTTCACTTTTAATCTCCTACCGCTTTGCCCTGAGGGAGAAGTGTCTTGATCCAATTAGATTGGAGGGTGGGCTGATATCAGAATCAGTATGGATGTGGTGGCAACGAGAAAGACCCCAACCCCTGCCGGGAACAAGTTAATGAAACTCCGGTTGTCAAACCTAAAGCCAGTCACTTAACTGACTGATTTCTCCCGGCTAATGGATTTTTTAACAGAACAGTACCGAAGTAAATCTACCCGTATTTCTTATGCGTCACCGACAAATAAATGCCTCAGAGTAATTCCTTCTGTCCAAGCAAGCTCTGCTTTCAGTTTAGTCTACTAGATATACAAAACATGCCCCTGGAAATCAGGCAAACACCAATCTGTCTGAAGCTTATACGCATGCGTGGACGGCTGGTTGGGGTGTATGGTCTGAAGCGTTCTGAAGTGTGGTTGGCGTCAAAGTGCACGTACACCACACGGAGTTATATGTTTGGGACATTCAAACGCTCGATCTGAAATGAGAATGAACTTTAGTTCCTTTCAATTTGTTCAACATTAAGGAAACCATGCTTTTACCGTTATTTCGTGCAGCTGTTCGTGATATTAGTGTTACTGGAAAGAGAAGAATTTCAACCACTACTACTGCTGCTATTCAACAAGGGTTCGGTAAGGTAAGCTGAATATGAAAGTGTCAGCCAAGTGGTTACAGGTGGTTAATGTAACTATTTAGAGGGATGGTTCAGACAGTTACATATGTAGGAACTAGGGGAATGAGAAGGGTGTTTTTAGAAACCACTCAACAAAAGACGTAGAGTAAGCTGTGTTTGTGCCTCAGCATTACGTGTAAATGGAATGTCAAGATAAAACTCTGCGTATGCTACATGTCAGCACTGGACGAAAGTATGAAAATATTTTACGGCAAGAAATGTAGCATACACAGGAGAGATCAGAAATTCATCTCGGTGCAGAATTCGAGTAGGAATCCCTCAAGGGATGGGATGATAATATTAAAATAAATTTTAAGGGTGTAGGATAAAGTGTGTTGGTTGGATTTTTTTGTCTTAGAATAGGATCCCATTGGTAGACTCTTGTGTATATGGCAACTTTCAGATATTATTGTCACGTGCTGGGTGTATGTCACGCCATCTACGTCACATTATTAATGACGATGAATTTAATGACCAGCTAAGAGACTATCAACTTCTCAAAATGATTCTGCTGTTTGAAGTTGGTTTCATCTTACACTTCGGTCCATAAGGTCTACTGCTGAACCAAAAACTCTCACAGGATTTCATTTCTGAAGGAGAAAAAAATGAATAAAAATTAGTTTTGTCACTTAGAGCCACAAATAAACTTCTTTGCTTATTTGTGATATATCCCAAAAGATTGTAACTTCATAGTCACCGCTGTGAGGACATCGAATCTAGCATTCCTCTTTGTTATGTTGTCACCTTAAGAGTTTTTATTTTTTTGCAAAACTCCTACCTCAAATTTGTTTATTTAACAATATATCTCAAATGCATATGTTTTATACGTCAAATGATAGTGAAAGATACAATATGAATGATGTGAGACAAGCGATCGTAGCTTCCAGCCAAGGCTAGAGGTAGTGGGGAGAGCCACAGAATAATAAAGTACTGAATTGTGCATAACATGCGTTAGTGTTTGTTTTTCTGCGCTAGAGGACAATGATTTAGTCCTGCGTTTGCAGTCTACACTACATGTTACCTCCCGTCTTCTGAATCACACATCTTCTACTAGCAGTTTTCGTTTGGGGAATGCTAAAAGGTGAAGTTGTCCCTGTGCTTAACTAATTAAGCATTACTCCATGAAGGCGTATGAGGGAATGAATGTATAGATATACGTATTCTTGACCTCGCCACTAATTGGAGGTGAGTGGTCAGCTTCACGCACCGGCCGCTTTATCTCCGGGGAAAGAGCCACCGGCACCCATTGGAGAGGACGCTAGATGGGCCCCAGAACAGGTCTGGACGACGAGGAGAGGAGAAAAATATTGCTCCTACTGGGACTCGAGATCCAACCCCTCGGTCGTCCAGTCCGTAGCCAGTTGCTATACCGACCGTGCTATCCCGCGAAGATAGTCTTTAATTCTGCTTGGAACATCGATTTTCATTTTAAAATCCGACAGCATGGAGACGCAGTAAAACTGCTTAGCCAGGGATATATCATCCTTACATTTTTGTATTTTCCTGTCTCTTCCAATGACGGCAGGGATAGTGTTCGAAAATGGATAAAACACACCCTTCCATATTCCTCTGGAGTCATCACTCACAAATATTTTACCAAATTTCACACGACTTCAACAATTGATACAGTATCATTAGTTACCAGGGGCACGCGGCAGCGTAGTTGGTTGAGGCACTATGCTACAAGCCGGAAGGTCGCTGGTTCAAGTACCGATGAAGTCATTGGATTGTTTTCATTTGACCTAATCCTTCCAGTCGCACTATGGCCCTGCGGTCGACTCAGCCTCTAACAGAAAAGAGTACCAGGAATTAATTAAATAGTTTTCCTGGTGAGTAAAGCGCGGCTGGCGCGTAAGGCTGACCAACTTACCGCCATCTTTGAGCCGATTGTCTAGATAATGTAGGACCCTCAACGTCTCGCAACCCTATGGGCCTTCACGGCCTGGTACAGGGATAGGTTTACTTTTTTACTTTATCATTAGTTACCGGGTTTCCACAGTTACGTCCCGGATTCGGTCCCAGGTCAAGATATCTGGGATTTGTGGTGAACAAAATGGCACTGAGGCAGGTTTTCCTCTGAGTATTTCGGTTTCCCCTGCTAATTCTGATTCCATCAACCGCTTCATATTCATTAACCTTCCTGTCACCGACACAGGGTGTAGAGGAGAATATCTGACCGAAGAGACATGAAGTGACGGGAGGCTGGATAAAACTGCATAATGAGGAGCTTCATAACTTGTACTCTCCGTCAAGTATAATTAGAATGATTAAGTCAAAGAGGATGAGATGGGCGGGGCATGTAACACGAATGGGGGAGAAGAGGAATGCATATAGAATATTGGTGGGAAAGCAGGAGGAAAGGAGACCACTGGGAAGACCAAGATGTATGTGGGTGGACAATATTAAAATGGATCTTAGAGAGATAGGATGGGATGGATTGGATTGATCTGGCTCAGGATAGGGACCAGTGGAGGGCTCCTGTGAATACGGTAATGAACCTTCGGGTTGCATAAAATGCTGGGAAATTCTTGAGTATCTGCACAATTGGCAGCTTCTCAAGAAGGGCTCAGCTCCATGTGTTAGTGAATGAGTCCTGTCACCGACGCTGTATGTTTTCGACTCTGACAGTATCGTTAAATAACAAGAGAGAGAATGAAAGAAAGAAAGAAAGAAAGAAAGAAAGAAAAGACAATATCGTAAAGCAACTGAATAAATCGAACTTAGCAGCCGGGTGGTTAGCACTTCAGCTTCACATCTGTGAGGTCCTGGGTTCAAACGTGGGCCCTATGATCGGCTATCCAGCGTATAATTCGAGGTTTCACTGTCTCCAAGGAAAATGCCGGGACAGTACCTCATGCAGGCCACGGCCGCTTCCTTTTCAAATCATTATTCGCAAATCGTCGCACCATTCGAGCTACTGACAGCGTCGTAACATGAAACACCCACAAAGAAGCAAGCGAATAAACAAATATCATAATGCTGCAGCTTTCCCAAAGAGAAGCATTTAACAACAGAGTGCAATAGGACAAGTCCCGGGTTCGAATTGCGATGATCTATTGAGAGTATAAAAGGAAGCTCACAGGTAACGGTATTAAGAACAAGAATTACGAGTATAGTACGCCATAGAAAAGGGCTGCGTAAAATCCGACCTGTTGAATTCTTTTTTCATGTCTACGTAATTTTGTGTCAGACGAAAACATAAGCAGGACGCTTTCCCTCGCGGTCTGAGTAGAAGAGGGAAACAGCTCCTCACAAACGCTTTGTTGTTGCTTCCGTCAGCGCTTAACAACAGCCTTCGAAGCTATTGAAAACTCCCCCTTGGGCGCGGAATGTTACGCATACCATGACAGGTTTTCTATGAGGGGTCAGGGGAAGGCCGAGGACCCTCATCCCTAGAAGCAGAAGGAAGAGCAGAAAGAGGTTGATGAAACGGAATGGCTGCTATTGGTTCGAAAGGACAGTTGAAATGTAACCACCTGTAGGAGATTTCTGTTGAAATGTCTTTGTGATAATGGCGGGAGACGAAGTTAAACATAAGTGCTACTTTAATCACATGACCTGTTAATTAACACGAACGATAGGACCACTTGAAATGGATGATGTTCACAATTCGGGATGCTAAGTTCGCTTTCATTATTTCGAAACCGCAAAGTTCAGTGTCGGGCACCTTTTATAACGAAATGGCCGAGGTGTTATTTAAGAAGAGAAAAATAGCAGTTGAGTATAGAGTTTTCCTGCCGGTCACGGTAGCCGAGCGGTCTAAGGCATGTACGTACTGTCTTCGCTCGCTTGGAAACCGGGATCGTGAGTTCGAATCCCACTCAGGGCATGGATGTTTAGTTTGTGTGTGTGCGTTTTTCTGTGTTTGTGTGCAGGTAGAGGCCTTGAGACGAGCTGATCACCCGCCCAAGGAGTCCTACCGAATGTGTAAGATCTAGAAAAACCGAAGTGAACGGAGAAGTTCATGGAGGTAAGCCTAGGCCCACTGTGGCTGTAGTGCCAAGGGGAAAAAAAAATAAAAGTTTTCCAAGAGAATGGACTGATACTTCTTTCCATGTGAAATTCAACTAAATCTTGTGTTTGTAATAAAACGACTTCAGCGATGAAAGTGTACCATGCAAAGCAACATAACGTGAATAAATATTCCACATATGACAAATTGATGGATCACTTTCGTAAGGACAAAGTTTGTGAGCTAGAAAGAAATTAATTTCACAACAGAGTGACTCATTAGTAGAAACAATTCCACCACTCCAACTGAAATGCAAAATTATAAGCATTGTTCGAGGAATATTTAAAAAGACTGTGAATATACGTATATTAGTTTTGTAAAAATTAAATTAAAAGTCATTAAAATGTTTTATTCTTATATTCAGTGACTCGTCTGTTGGATAAATATAATACATGCTGAAATGTATTCTTATTTTCTGTTCAATGACTAAAGCAATGTGAAATTTAAATTGCGTGATTATCATAATTTTCAAAGGTTAACGTAATTTATCAGGAAGATACTTCTTTCTTATATAATCAGGGAACCTCTTGTTTGATTAAAACTCGCATGTGCTAAAACGTGTAAATACCTGTTTCATTTGTTTATAAAAATACACAAAGGTGTAAATGGAGTGCATTCTAACATGAAAGTGCTGCGTGATACTTTTGATGCTGTCGCATAGAGCAAAGTTCTCAGGTAGAGCTTCTTAGTTATAGTTCCTTTTTCATAAACAAAGTACTGAATTACATTTATGTGGATCTGATTTGCACATTTACCATACCCCTACTGATATAATGCAATATAATGCAATTGTAGACCCTAATTTGTTTATTCGTACTAATCAAAAGATCGAGCGGTCCGAAGTAGCTCGCTCCTACGGCCATAATTTTGGTCATTTGGTCCGAAAAATTTGCACGTCCCTAAGATGACTGTAGGGCCATGAGCTGAGTAAGCCGGGTAGCAAAGAAATTAC